CCATTGACCTTCTTCACAGAACTGTAAAAAAAAATCTTAAACTTCATTTGGAACCAGAAGAGAGCCCCCGTAGCCAAGACAATCGTAGGCAAAAAGAGCAAAGCTGGAGGCATTAGGATACCTGACTTCAAACTATACTACAAGGCTACAGTAATCAAAACAGCATAGTACTGATACCAAAACAGAGATATAGACCAATGGTACAGAACAGAGGCCTTGAAAGTAACACCACACATCTACAACCATCTGATCTTTGACAAACCAGACAAAAACAAGCAATGGGGAAAGGATTTCCTGTTTAATAAATGGTGTTGGGAAAACTGGTTACTCATATGCAGAAAGCTGAAACGGGACCCCTTCCTTACACCTTATACAAAAATTAACTCTAGATGGATTAAAGATTTAAACATAAGACCGAACACCATAAAAACCCTAGAAGAAAACCTAGGCAGTACCACTTAGGACATAGTGCATAGGCAGGGACTTCATGGCTAAAACACCAAAAGCAATGGCAACAAAAGCCAAAATAGACAAATGGGATCTAATTAAACATAAGAGCTTCTGCACAGCAAAAGAAACAATCATTAGAGTGAACCGGCAACAAACAGAATGGGAAAAAATTTTTTGCAATCTACCCATCTGACAAAGGGCTAATATCCAGAATCTATAAAGAAGTGTAACAACTATACAAGAAAAAAACACCACCATCAAAAAGTGAGTGAAAGATATGAACTTTTCAAAAGAAGACATTTATGTGTCCAACAAACATGAAAAAATGCTCATCATCACTGGTCATTAGAGAAATCCAAATCAAAACCACATTAAGATACCATCTCACGCCAGGTAGAATGGTGTTCATTTAAAAAATCTGGAGACAACAGATGCTGGAGAGGATGTGGAGAAATAGGAATGCTTTTACACTGTTGGTCGAAGCATAAATTAGTTTAGCCATTGTGGAAGGCAGTGTGGCAATTCCCCAAGGATCTAGAAATAGAGATTCCATCTGACCCAGCAATCCCATTACTGGGTGTATACCCAAAGGATTATAAATCAATATTTTATAAAGACACATGTACACGTATGTTCATTGCATCACTGTTTACAATAGCAAAGACTTGGAACCAGCCCAAATGGCCATCAGTGATAGACTGGATAAAGAAAATGTGGCATATATACATCATGGAATACTATGTAGCCACAAAAATTAAGAGTTCATGTTCTTTGCAGGGACGTGGATGTAGCTGGAAACCATCATTCTCAGCAAACCAACCCAGGAACAGAAAGCCCAACACTGCATGTTCTCACTCATAAGTGGGAGTTGAACAGTGAGAACACATAGACACAGAGAGGGGAATATCACACACTGGGGCCTCTTGTAGGGTGGAGGATTAAGTGAGGGATAGCATTAGGAGTAATACCTAATGTAGATGACAGGTTGATGGGTGCAGCAAACCACCATGACATATGTATGCCTATGTAACAAACCTGCACATTCTGCACATGTATCTCAGAACTTAAAATATAATGAAATAAATAATAAAAATCAACATAAAATCAATAAAACCCACTGTTTGGAGCTTAAAGAAAAAAAAGAAAATATGGTACATATACACCATGGAATACTATGCAGCCATAAAAAGGAATAAGATCATGTCCTTTGCAGGAACATGGGTGAAGCTGGAAACCATCATCCTCAGCAAACTAACACAGGAACAGAAAACTAAATACTGCATGTTCTCACTTAGAAGTGGGAGTTGAATAAGGAGAACACATGGACACAAGGAGGGGAACAACACACACCAGGGCCTGTTTGGGGGTGGAGGGGGTGGGGAGGGAACTTAGAGGATGAGTCATTGGTTGCAGCAAACCACCATGGCACATGTGTACTTGTGTAACAAACCTGAATGTTCTATATGTGTATCTTGTTTTTCTGGGTTTTTTAAATTTTGTTTTTGTTTTTTTGAGAAGAAATAAAAACAGAGAGCCCTGACAGTACATAGATTAGGTAGTGGTTTTTTTTTTTTTTTTTTTTTTTTTTTTTTTTGAGATGGAGTTTCGCTCTTGTTACCCAGGCTGGAGTGCAATGGCACGATCCCGGCTCACCGCAACCTCCGCCTCCTGGGTTCAGGCAATTCTCCTGCCTCAGCCTCCTGAGTAGCTGGGATTACAGGCACGCACCACCATGCCCAGCTAATTTTCTTTGTATTTTTAGTAGAGACGGGGTTTCACCATGTTGACCAGGATGGTCTCGATCTCTTGACCTTGTGATCCACCCGCCTCGGCCTCCCAAAGTGCTGGGATTACAGGCTTGAGCCACCGCGCCCGGTTAGGTAGTGGTTTTGAGTCACAGACCCTTTTGCAAAAATGTGATGGAAACTATGAATTATCTGTGTAGAAAAATTAAAATTGTTCATACTGTTTAAGAGAGTTAATGAACTCTAAAGCCCATCCAGGGAATAGTAGCCCCTACATTATGCATTCAGGTGTTGTTGTTGTTATTTTAATAACATACAGCTGGCTGAGTGTGGTGGCTCATACCTGTAATCCCAACAGTTAGGGAGGCAAAAGAAGGAGATTGCTTGAGCCCAGGAGTTCAAGACCAGACAAGGGAACATAGTGAGATTTGTCTCTACGAAAAATAGAAAGAAAAAAATTAACCAGGCTTGGTGATACGCACCAGTAGTCTCAGCGACATGCGCCAGTAGTCTCAGCTACTCGAAAGTCTGAGGCGGAATAATTACTTAAGCCCAGGAGGTCAAGGCTGCAGTGATCATGCCACTGTACTCTAGCTTGGGTGACAGAGCAAGACCTTGTCTGAAAAAAAAAAAAAAAAGCACAGATTTGCTTTACAGAAGCTTTAATTATGAAGAAACAACCTAGAAGTGGGCAAAGAGCCATTTAAAGAAATACACATTTCACACAATTTTTTTAAAGTTTTTAAGAAGACCTTTATAAAGGTAAGAAAGTTTATACCTTTGCTTCAAAAGATTATGGACCTGAGCAGTCATTGCCATCCCAGTTGACCTGACTTCTCAAACTAGCACAAGAATGTAGCCAGTAGTTTGGCTGATTGAAGCAGAGGGGTAAAGTGCCCCTCTCAGCAAAAACAAATCTCTGCATAGGATCTCTCAAAACAGACCTAAGTTACTTGGTTCTAAATGTTTTTGCTTCACATATTTACAAGAAAAAAAGTTTTTAAATTCTTACATACGTAAAGACTACATTTTTCAAAGTGTGTTCACATTTTGGTTCCTGTAAAGATATTCATGTAAGAATTATGGCAGTTTCTCAAAAAATTAAACAGAATCACAATATGATCCAGCAATTGGATCATATTGAGTTCCCAACAGGAACTCAAATAGATATTGGTATGCCCATGTTCATAGCAGCCTTACTCACAATAGCCAAAAGGTGGAGGTAACCCAAGTCTCCACTGATGGACCAAAGAAAGTGTGGTAAATACATACAATGGAATATTATTTAGTCTTAAAAAGGATGGAAATTCTGATACATACTGAAACATGGGTGAAACTTGAAGGTGTTATCCTAAGTGAAGTAAGCTAGTTACAGAAGGACAAATTATACATCATTTGACTTGTAGGAGATACCTAGAGTAGTCAAATTCATAGAGATAAAGTAAAACAGTGACTGCCAGGGACTGGTATCGGGGGAAATGGGGAGTTGCTATTTAATGGGCAAGGAGAATCAGTTTGAGATGATGAAAAAGTTCTGCAGATGGGCAGTGCTCAGGGGCCTCCACAGAGACCCCACCCACCCCACCCCACCCCTGGGCACTTCTTGGAAAATAAAAACAAATTTTAAAAAAAGGTTCTGGAGGCCAAGTGTGGTGGCTCCTGCCTATAATCCCAGCTCTTTGGGAGTCTGAGGCGGGTGGATCATGAAGTCAAGAGATCAAGACCATCCTGGCCAATATAGTGAAACCCCATCTCTTCTAAAAATACAAAAATTAGCTGGGAATGGTGGTGTGCGCCTATAATCCCAGCTACTTGAGTAGCTGAGGCAGGAGAATCCCTTGAACCCAGCAGTCGGAGGTGGCAGGGAGCCGAGATCACACCACTGCACTCTAGCCTGGTGACATGACAGAGCAAGACTCTGTCTAAAAAAAAAAAAAAGTTCTGGAGATGGATGGTAGTAATGTTATTGAGCAAAAGGGCTCACTCCCTGATGCACTAGAAGCCAATACTATGACACCAGGTTTTTGAGAACAGAAAAGGTTTTTATTGCAGGTTGACCAACAAGGAGATAGGAATCCAGCTGAAATCTGTCTCTGTGCTGACTTTTAAGGCAGTAATTTTATTAGAAAGCTTTAGGGAGTAGATTTCTGGGATTACATTATAGCGGGTGGTTGGTGGAAGGAAAGAGAGGTCTGAAAAGTCTTCGGATGTGTGCAGTTATCTCTTCATGTTTTCTCATGGGTCACATGCAAATTCAGATGGAATTATTATGAAATATGTGGTGGCAATTCAGGCTGTGTTGCCAGCAAGCTTGTTCTAGTTGGCCGTATTGGTTCCAACTGATTTCAGCCAGTTTTTTAATCTCACAAGCAGAGGGTTTTACCATTTCAGCAACTTGTTTATTTTCTTTTCTGCTATCCTATAAGCTCAAGAATTTCTTTTAATCACTGGCTTATTTAACTGTTTAAGGTACAGTCAATTGTTGTGCAGCAGTGTGAATGTACTTAATGCCACTGAACCTGAACTTTATACTTGAAAATAATTAAAATAGTAAATTTTATGTTGTGTGTATTTTACCACAATAAAAAAAATTCATGTCAGCTAGGATTCATAAAGATGATTGTTGACATGTATATAGAACACAGATTTGATTTGTTCAATATACTGACATCACACATCGGTCTTCTAGAAGATGAACTCACTTTCTTGTTCTTTTTAAAAAAATCCAAATAAAATGTGCTATTGTGGTAAACACATTTGTTGCAACTTGTAAGCTCAGTTTGCTCCCTTTTTTTGTATCAACAGGAAAATCAAGAGGATCTGGGCCTTTGGGAAGAGAAATTTGGAAAATTTGTGGATATCAAAGCTAATGGTAAAATTGAAACTGGTATAATATTAAAACGGATCAGTCCAAAAAAGGCTGCATAATTTGATCTAAAAGCCCCTTGATCTTTGGCACCTAAAACAGGTGACTTTAACAGAAGAACAGAAATCCCAGATTGGATTCACTATCTTTCAATAAGGCATTGCAACAGAGAAATAGCAATTATATGCCTTTTGTGGGAAGCATAAAAGAAGTATCAGCCACATGGAGCTTATGGTCTCATGGAGTGGCCTAGATCAGCACACTGCTTGCACTGTCCATTAGGTAAGGCAGCTACAAATTCCACATTCAACTTTTAAGAGAGTGAAGTGATGAGAAACCCAACTTGTAGAGCTCCTCATTTGCAACATTTCAAGCCAGTGGTTCTCAACCTTCTCCAGGCCTTCCCATCATTCTCATGGGTCTCACATGCCCATCTGTCACATTTCTCACCAAGGTTAGTGATGGAATTGGGGTAGGGGGTGAGTTTGTCTCTTTAGGAGATGCCTTTCAGATACTTGGAGCTTATGCAGTTAGAAAAGTACTCACTTTCCTCTTTCCTCCTCCCTGCCCTGTTGAATAACAAACCCTCTCTAATTTCCATCCTAGCCATCATTACCTACGGCATTGTATAATGATCAGGGCTGACAGAATGCCCCAAATTAAAAGCAGGGGCGTAGGTTTTTAGGCTCTCCATTCTGTAACATCATAATTTTTTTAATTTTTTAAAATTATTTTATTTTATTTTAGTTTTAGTTTTTTACTTTTTTTCTTGAGCCAAGGTTTCGCTCTGTCACCCAGGCTGGAGTGCAGTGCTTACTGGATCGTGACTTACTGCACTGTTGAACTCCCGGCCTCAAGTGATGCACCTGCCTTGGCTTTCCGAAGTGCTGGGTTTACAGGTGTGAGCCACCATATCTGGCCATGTCATCTTCATTTTTACTTTCTCTGTAGCATTTCTTTTCTGTCACAAGCTCCTACAAATAAGGACCGTTTGATGTCAGATACTTTAATCTAAGCATAAATTAAAATCCACTTTATACCTCCCAGTCATTTGCATTTTCCCATATCTGTAAAATAATTGTTAAATAAAGGAATTTGTCTTTGGTTAAAGGAAACTTACATAACTGCAATCACAGAGGAGGTTAAAGGAAATTTATATAACTACAATCACAGAGGAGGAGTATTTGTGAGCAACCAGTTATGGCCCTCCTGGTGCCATTGACATTTGCATTCCTGGTAGGCAGTCACAGACGAGGCTGGCAGTAAGAATAAGTGATCAGGCAGAAGACATTCTGTCATTTCATCTAGTGAAGACTGAAGCAATATTCTTGGCTTCCTAAAGCAAAGAAATAGTGATAAGGAAGATTTCAATTAGGAAAAAATCTAAAACTTATGTTTTACAGAGAGAAAAGAGATTTACTGTAAAGAGGACACAGAGAGCTTCATCACACAGCTAAGGCAACAGAACTAATATGTAACCAGAACTTTGCCTTATACGTTTTTGTATCCCCACAACACCTGAATATAGTATCTTACAGATGGTCAGTACACAGCATTTGCTGATTGATCTAGATGAGCTCAGGTCTCTCAGCCTCTAGTTTGGTCATCTCTGTGCACTCAGAATTAACTGAATCTCCTTAAGTAAGTGTGCTTTTGAGAAGCAAAACTCAGTATCTTGGTCTCTACAGGCCCTTCTTCCATTGGTTTGGATTTCTCCTTGCATGAATTTGAGCATCTGTATGGTATCCCACAACATGCAGAATCACACCAACTTAAAAATACTGGGTAAGTGAAAACAAGAATTCTTACGGGAGGCTCTAGTTTCTGTATTGAGATGATTTGAAAGGAATCAACTGTGAGCTGTCTGAGCCAATGCTAATATGTGCCAGGCCTTTTCCTCCTTGATATTCCTTGTGAATCTTTAAGAACCTTCCTTGAATGATCACCCAGAGCAGTGGTTTCCCTTTTTTTTTTTTTTTTTTTTTTTTTTTTTTTTTTTTTTTTTTGAGATGGAGTCTTGCTCTATCTCCCAGGCTGGAATGCAGTGGCGCAATCTTGGCTCACTGCAACTTCTGCCTCCCGGGTTCAAGGGATTCTCCTACCTCAACCTCCCAAGTAGCTGGGACTACAGGTGCCCATGACCATGCTGGGCTAATTTTTTTTTTTTTTTTTGTATTTTTAGTAGAGTCAGGGTTTCACCATATTGGCCAGGCTGGTCTCGAACTCCTGGCCTTGTGATCCACCCACCTCTGCCTTCCAAAGTGCTGGGATTACAGGCATGAGCCACCATGCCCAGCCAGTTTTCCATTTTTATTTTTAATGGTCAAATTAGATAACTGTAAAAACTATAATAGTGAACCTAGAGATATAGAGAAAGTAAAATTACGGAGCTGCTGTGATCAGTGTAAAGGGAAGATCTTTATCCCTGGGTTTCACTTTTACCTCTTAAGGCCTTTTATGGAACCCTGGGAGAATATATCATGAAAAAATCGCTGACCCAGAAAAAGGCTTTACCAAAATGGGACAGTGAGCCAGAGAATGGAATAATGTGGCATCTCATATCACCTGTAATTCCCTCAGGACTATCATGTCAGGCTAACACTATTGACAAAGAGGCCAGAGGCATCCAGACTAAGAGGAAATTAAACTAGAGAGAAACAGGTTGCCAGGTTCAGGTGCTGTTTACTTTCAGGTAGGCATTCTGATAAGCCCAGGAGAAACTGTGCTGCTCTCCCACTGGTCAGAGCTCTGTGCTCCCATGCCCAATTCAGTTCCCTGTCTTCCTCTGCTAAGTACTGTGGAAGCCTCTTGGACACAATTATTTTAACTGCAGAGAAGTGCTCACAGAATTCATCAGTGGATGCTTACTGTGTGCTTCCCTTTGTGGAGGATTCACAGGAGAGAGTCCTCCACTCAAAGGGTATTTAGGCCAGGCGCAGTGGCTCATACCTGTAATCTCAGCACTTTGGGAGGCCAAGGTGGGTAAATCACTTGAGGTCAGGAGTTTGAGACCAGCCTAGTCAACATGGTGAAACCTCATCTTTACCAAAAAATACAAAAATTAGCTTGTATAGTGGTGCACACCCGCAGTCCCAGCTACTCGGGAGGCTGAGTTGGGAGAATTGCTGAACTCAGGAGGTGGAGGTCACAGTGAGCCAAAATCGCACCATTGCACCCCAGTCTGGGTAAAGAGTAAGACCCTGTTTGAAAAAAAAGGAGATACTTGGAAAAGGTGTCTGAGATGTGGTTGTGTTAATGTTACAGGAAGTGGTGCCAAAGGAGTCAAGAGAAGAGGACCACATTCACCCAAATTGTGTCAGGAAATCTTTAGGGAAGTGGCAAGCGTTGAGCCTTCAAAGATGATTGGGACCTAAGTGTTTTCAGAAAAGAATGGAGCTATTCTATTTATTAATATTAATAAATTTGTGATGGTAATTGATGATAATCTTTGTGTTTCAGGGATGGAGATGCTTACCGTCTTTATAACCTGGATGTCTATGGATACCAAATACATGATAAAATGGGCATTTATGGTTCAGTACCTTATCTCCTGGCTCACAAACTGGGCAGAACTATAGGTATTTTCTGGCTAAATGCCTCAGAAACACTGGTGGAGATCAATACAGAGCCTGCAGTAGAGGTGAGCTACTGAGCATAGCTACATGCCATACTTAAAGAAGAAACAAAACCACTGCAGTAGAGTCAAAGGTCTTATCTTTGTACTGGCACTTCTCTGCCACCAAAAGCTTTACAGTGTAATCCATGAATATCAGTAGTATCTACTAAAGAAACAGACCGTTACTTACATATGGCTGGATGTTGCAGGTTAAAGGGAAATTTCTCAAATTTTTATTCCATTCTTTTTCCAGTACACACTGACCCAGATGGGCCCAGTTGCTGCTAAACAAAAGGTCAGATCTCGAACTCATGTGCACTGGATGTCAGAAAGTGGAATCATTGATGTTTTTCTGCTGACAGGACCTACACCTTCTGATGTCTTCAGACAGTACTCACACCTTACAGGTATTTGCATGGAGAAGTGCCAGTTTCTTGTTCTGTTATATATCCTATGTCTCATGTATCATCGTTGTAAGTTAATATTTGTTGCACACTATGTGGAATTTATAAACATCTTGGCCGGGTGCGGTGGCTCACGCCTGTAATCCCAGCACTTTGGGAGGCTGAGGCGGGTGGATCACAAGGTCAGGAGATCGAGACCATCCTGGTCAACATGGTGAAACCCTGTCTCTACTAAAAATACAAAAAATTAGCTGGGCATGGTGGTGTGTGCCTGTAATCCCAGCTACTCAGGAGGCTGAGGCAGGAGAATTGCCTGAACCCAGGAGGCGGAGGTTGCGGTGAGCCGAGATCGCGCCATTGCATTCCAGCTTGGGTAACGAGAGCGAAACTCCATCTCAAAAAAAAAAAAAAAAAAAAAAATCTTAAATATTTTAATTAGCGAGCATTCCTGTTCCCACCCTCATCCCATTCAGTTTAGTAAAACATTGCACTGGATCTAGAATGTTCTACTGTCTAATTCCTAATACTTGCCATCTACTTTCCTGGGAGCTTTTAGCCCCTGGGCTGGCTCTGCCTTTATCTCAGATGACCAGTATCCCAACTTCAACTTTTTTATGTTTTTTTTCTCCATTAAAACATGCAGCTGTCAGGCTGGGGTCAGTTAATAGTAAAAATGGCCCAGACTTGATAGCCTCCCCCATCCACACACACACACACAAAATACATATATACACACACATATATATATATATGTATATATATATATATGTATGTGTATATATATATATATGTGTGTGTGTATATATATATATATATATATATACACATACATACATATATGTGTGTATATATAGCAACTGGCTTTAGCATCAGAACATTTTATCTTTAAAAGAATGCAAGCTTTTCTCTAAGATCAGAAACAAGGCAAGGCATTGCATTTTCCCTGCTATAATTGTACATTGTACTGGAATTTCTAGCCATAGAAATGAGGTAAGAAAAAGAAATAAAAGACATCCAAATTGGAAAATAATACATAAGATTATAGGAGATGATATGATCCTATATATAGAAATCCACACTAGAATCCACACTAGAGGCAGTAAATTCAGCAAAGTTACAGGGTACAAGATTAATATATTAATCTGTTCTCACACTGCTATGAAGAAATACTGGAAACTGGGTAATTTATAAAGAAAATAAGTTTTTGGGAGGCCAAGGCGGGTGGATCACGAGGTCGAGAGATCGAGACCATCCTGGTCAACATGGTGAAACCCCGTCTCTACTAAAAATACAAAAAAAAAAAAGACTAGCTGGGCGTGGTGGCACGTGCCTGTAATCCCAGCTACTTAGGAGGCTGAGGCAGGAGAATTGCCTGAGCCCGGGAGGCGGAGGTTGCGGTGAGCCAAGATCACGCCATTGCACTCCAGCCTGGGCAACAAGAGTGAAACTCCGTCTCGGAAAAAAAAAAAAAAAAAAAAAAAAAAAAAAAAAAAAAAAAAAGAAAATAAGTTTAATTAACTCATGGTTCTGCAGGCTGTATAGGAAGCATGGCCGGGGAGGCCTCAGGAAACTTAACAATTACGGTGGAAGGTAAAGGGGAAGCAAGCACATCTTACCTGGCTGGAGCAGGAGGAAGAGAGAGAGGAAGGAGGTGCCATACACTTTTTTTTTTTTTTTTTTTTTTTTGAGACGGCGTTTCACTCTTGTTACCCAGGCTGGAGTGCAATGGCGCGATCTCGGCTCACCGCAACCTCCGCCTCCTGGGCTCAGGCAATTCTCCTGCCTCAGCCTCCCGAGTAGCTGGGATTACAGGCACGCGCCACCATGCCCAGCTAATTTTTTGTATTTTTAGTAGAGACGGGGTTTCACCATGTTGACCGGGATGGTCTCAATCTCTTGACCTCGTGATCCACCCGCCTCGGCCTCCCAAAGTGCTGGGATTACAGGCGTGAGCCACCGCGCCCGGCCCTGCCATACACTTTTAAACAACCAGATCTTGTGAGAAATCACTGTCACAGAACAGCTAGGGAGGAAATCTACCCCCATGATCCAATCGCCCCCTCACCAGGCCCATCTTCCAACATTGTGGATTACAATTTGACCTGAGATTTGGGTAGGACACAAATCCAAACCGTATCAATCAGTAACAAAAAAAAGTTAGTTTTGTTTCTATATACCCACAATGAACAATCCAAAAAAAATTAACAATCCCGTTTAAGACAAAAAAAAAGAAAACAATTCCATTTATAATATCCAAAATATAAAATACCTAGGAATACACTTAATGAAGGAAGTAAAAAACCTGTACACTGAAAACTATAAAACATTCCTGAAAGAAATTAAAGAAAGCCTAAATAAATGGAAAGACATCCCATGTTCATAGGTTGGAAGGCAATGTTAAGATGGCAATAAAACAGAAAGTGACTTACAGATTCACTACAATCCCTATCAAAATTCCAATGGCTTCTTTTGCAGAAATGGAAAAGCTGATCTTTCATAGAATTGCAAAGGGACCTGAATAGCCAAAACAATCTTAAAAAAGAGAAACAAAGTTGGGAAAATTATACTTCTGATAGGGTGCTGTATCCCCATTCAGATCTCATCATGAATTCCCACGTGTTGTGGGAGAGACCTGGTAGGAGGTAATTGAATCATGGGGCAGGTCTTTGTCATACTGTTCTCATGCTAGTGAATATCTCTCACGAGAGATCTGATGGTTTTAAAAGGGGGAGTTTCCCTGTACAAGCGCTCCTGTCTTTGCCTGCCGCCATTCACGTAAGATGTAACTTGCTCCTCCTTGCCTTCAGCCATGATCATGAGGCCTTCCCAACCACATGGAACTGTAAGTCCAATTAAACTTCTTTCTTTTGTAAATTGCCCAGTCTCAGGTATGTCTTAAGCAGTGTGAAAATGTACTAATACAACTTTTCAATTTCAAACTTACTTCAAAGATATGGCAATCAAAAGAACATGCTACTGGCCAGGCACGGTGGCTCCTGCCTGTAATCCCAGCACTTTGGGAGGCCAAGGCGGGCGGATCATGAAGTCAGGAGTTTGAGACCAGCTTGGCCAACAGAGTGAAACCTCATCTCTACTAAAAATTAACTGGGCATGGTGGCATGTGCCTGTAGTCTCAGCTACTCAGGAGGCTGAGGCTGGAGAATTGCTTGATCCCAGGAGGCAGAGGTTGCAGTGAGCTGAGATCACACCAGTGCACTCCAGCCTGGGTAACAAGAGTGAAACTCCATCTCAAAAAAAAAAAAAAAAGAATTGGGAATCTAGAAATAAACCCATACATTTATGGCCACCCAAAACACTGGGATTACAGGCACAAGCCACAGTGCTGTGTCCATGTCACTGTTATAATTTCAATAAAGGTTCATGACCATTCCATGAAGAAGAAATCGTCTCTTGGGCATATGGTGTGAGATAGTTGGATATCTACTTTCAAAAGAATGAAGTTGGACTCCCGTATTCAAAAATATGTTATATGTATTTCATATACAAAAAATAACTCAGAATGGATCTATTATATAAGAGCTAAAACCATAAAACTCTTAGAAGAAAACAGGGGTAAATATTCATGAACTTGGATTTGGCAATGGATTCTTAGATATGACAACAAAATCATAAGCAACAACAACAACAAATACATGTTAGAATTCACTAACATTAAAAACTTTTGTGCATCAGAAGAAAGTGAAAAAGCAGCCTACAAAATGGTAGAAAACGTCTGTAGATTATGTGTCTGATATGGGTTACTTATCCGGAATATATGAAGAATGTTCTACAACTCAACAACAAAAAGACAAACTGAGCCCTAGGCCCATATCCGTGATGCTCGCCTGCTAGACTGTCTACCACTGAGGGCACATACAGCCCCTAGACCACAGCCAAGCAGTGACCCAGACTGCTGTAGCCACCCTCTGGCACCATATTGCAGAGCAGGATCCCCAGGCTGCAGAGAGAGAACTTGCAGGGCTCCAGGGTAGAACGGCACTTTAGCAATGATAGAATCCATTTCTGTTTATAATGGTGACATGGACTGGGCACAGTGGCTCACACCTGTAATCCCAGTGCTTTGGGAAGCCTCCAAAGTGCTTCCACACCTGGCCTCCATTCATATTTTATGGTGAGGCTCTATGTGCCTGGAGGAGTCTTCCACTCTAGTTTTGAGGGTGGGCATATCTGCTAGTGTTTGGGAGTGGAGTAAGCTTTTCATCAATATCTTCCTCAATAGCACTCTGGAGAGAGCTTTCCTGACTTTCCTCAACAGTTACCACCCCTCCCCTGCCTGCCACCTGCCACATTTTTGATGAGATTATTCCATTCTCGTTCTCTTTATTTTTATGGCTTTCTTCATTTGTTTCTTTTCTTTACTCAGATTTTAGTGTGAATTTAGGAGGGGAAGGAGACACATGCAAGTGGTTAACCAGAAGTCCTTCACGTTATCAGTAAACATTTTGATAATAATTTACTGAAACTTTTTCCCAAGTTCAGTCTCTTTCCCTTCAGCTGAGTCCTTTTTTTTTTTTTTTTTTTTTTTAATTTAATTTTATTTTATTTTATTGCATTTTAGGTTTCGGGGTACATGTGATGAACATGCAAGATTGTTGCATAGGTACACACATGGCAGTGTGGTTTGCTGCCTTCCGTCCCCTCACCTGTATCTGTCATTTCTCCCCATGCTATCTCTTCCCACTTCCCCACCCCCTGCCCCTCCCCCATTTCCCCCCAACGGACCCCAGTGTGTAGTGCTCCCCTCCCTGTGTCCTTGTGTTCTCATTGTTCAACACCCGCCTATGAGTGAGAATATACGGTGTTTGATTTTCTGCTCTTGTGTCAGTTTGCTGAGAATGATGGTTTCCAGGTTCATCCATGTCCCTACAAAGGACGTGAACTCATCGTTTTTGATGGCTGTGTAATATTCCATGGTGTATATGTACCACATTTTCCCTATCCAGTCTATCATCGTTGGGCATTTGGGTTGGTTCCAGGTCTTTGCTATTGTAAACAGTGCTGCAATGAACATTCGTGTGCACGTGTCCTTGTAGTAGAATGATTTATAATCCTTTGGATATATACCCAGTAATGGGATTGCTGGGTCAAATGGGATTTCTATTTTTAGGTCCTTGAGGAATCGCCACACTGTCTTCCACAATGGTTGAACTAATTTACATTCCCACCAACAGTGTAGAAGTGTTCCTATTTCTCCACATCCTCTCCAGCATCTGTTGTTTCCCGATTTTTTAATGATCGCCATTCTAACTGGTGTGAGATGGTATCTCAATGTGGTTTTGATTTGCATTTCTCTGATGACCAGTGATGATGAGCATTTTTTCATATGTTTGTTGGCCTCCTGTATGTCTTCTTTTGTAAAGTATCTGTTCATGTCCTTTGCCCATTTTTGAATGGGCTTGTTTGTTTTTTTCTTGTAGATCTGCCCCTTCAGCTGAGTCCTAATGCTGCACCCTGACTTAATTTTTTCTAAAATATAGGTCTGCTAAGATTAAATCTTGCCAAACTTTTGATGACTTCTCGTAAGATAAGATTCAGAGTTCCTAACCTCAATTTATAGGGCCCTTGACAATCTAACCCTATTCATTGTCGTCTTCTACTGGTCTCTCTCATACTGTGATACCCTGGAATATTTGTTTTTCTCTAAGCCTGTCATGTACTTCTCTGCCTGTGTTTTTCTATTCCCTGCGTCTAGAATGCTCTTATCTATTCTCCCTGTCTGATATATTCCTACTTAGTCTACAAGGTCTAAACCAGGTGTTATCTCCTCTTTAAAGCCTTTCAAGGTCCCATACTTCACCTCAGGCAGAATTTGTTAACCTCTCTGTGTTCTGGTAGCACTAGACTGATAAGTTAACCTGGAAGTTATACCTCAGGACAGGACAGTTTATTTACACTCCTGCCTCATTAGCCAGGTTGTTACTTCCTTGAAGGCAAAGACTATGCTTTCTTCTCCTTGATATTCTAAGTATGAACTCAGTACTGAATACTCTGTAGACATTCCGGCAATGTTTAGCAAATGAATAATGGTCATTGTGGTGGCAGTTGACTCAGTTGTCATCTTCTTCTTTTAGGTACACAAGCTATGCCCCCTCTTTTCTCTTTGGGTTACCACCAGTGCCGCTGGAATTACGAAGATGAGCAGGATGTAAAAGCAGTGGATGCAGGGTTTGATGAGCATGACATTCCTTATGATGCCATGTGGCTGGACATAGAGCACACTGAGGGCAAGAGGTACTTCACCTGGGACAAAAAAAGATTCGCAAACCCCAAGAAGATGCAAGAGCTGCTCAGGAGCAAAAAACGTAAGGTAAAATAAGCCAACATTTCCGAACCTTTTAATTACAGAGCTTTAAAAAATGTTTTAGACTTGCCTTGGCATATCAGTGGTGGAGAAACATCTGATTTTTTAAAAAATGGCTATGAAAATAGTAGATTCGAATGTAATTGTCACTGTGATAAGAGAGAAAATGAATGGTGAAAAGGCGGTGACTCCATCCATTCCTGGCTTAGTTATCTAGGTCCCCATAATGAGGAAGGGGTCTAGCATTTTCAGTTCCATTTGTTGTGGCTACCTGGTGTTAATATGATCCCCCTCACTCAAAATTTGATTTCCGTGTCTCGATGACACCACACATGCACCAAGAGTATATTTAAAAGTTTATTACTCATATAATGAGGCTTTCTGGGGAGAGCAGTGCTGGCTCCCAAGCTGGTTTCAAAATGGATTGAGAGAACTGGGAAAGGAGATTGGCTCAGTTTTTATGGTGGTTAGTGGGTGGGGACAGGGCAAGGGCTCTTGCACACAGGCTGAGGCTTAGATAGTTTGAACCCCTGGCTGGCACCAAAAGAGGGAGCACTAGAGCTTTCTTTGTCAGCTTGTCCAGATATGGCCAGAAAGGTAAGTGGGGAGTGGCAGGGCTTGAAAACCCTTAACAGTCAAATACCAAATATGGTATCAAATTCTTTATTACACCATTTTTCCTGCATACTTCACTGATGGACTCCACCTGTCAATCTGGCCAAGAAAAGAACAGAAATAGAAAATGGGAAGGCAGAGAAGCCACTGGAACATGCATAATGCTGCTTTCCAATTCCAAGAGTGTTAGTGGTGGTAATAGCAATAATGAAAAGATGTGGTCTTAGGGTGACTGAGGAAAAGACAAGTATCCAACCACAATACAGGGAAGTAACATGAGAGCCAAAGAAAGGACAGGGTAGGGGACAGGCCAAGAAAGAGAAGATCATATCCTCAAGACTTAAGCAGGGCTTGGTTCCAGAGGTACACTTTATTTTATTTATTTATTTGTTTTTTCCAAGATGGAGTCTCACTCTGTTGCCCAGGCTGGAGTGCTGTAGCACAATCTTGGCTCACTGTATCCTCTGCTTCATGGGTTCATACAGTTCTCCTGCCTCAGCCACCTGAGTAGCTAGAATTACAGGCAGGCACCACCATACCCAGCCAATTTTTATATTTTTAGTAGAGATAAAGTTTCACCATGTTGGCTGGGCCGGTCTTGAACTCCTTACCACAAGTGATCCATCCAACTCAGCCCTCCAGAGTGCTGGGGTTACAGGCGTGAGCCTCCATGCCTGGCCTAGAAATGCATTTTAGATGAGCCCTAAAGGATATCCCTAACTAATGGGTAAGCTGGGAGAGAGAAGAGGACAGTGCAGCCAGAGGAAGGAGCATTAGGGGTGTTTGGAAAGCAGTATACAGGCAAGTTTGACAGGAGAGCAAGGCATATGTGGGTTCTAGTAGTGGAGGATCTGACCAGAAAGGTTGGAACCTTTTTGTAATCTGCTTTGTATACATTTGAAGACATTACAAGTTTTTGAATTAGAGGTTACTAATCCAGAATACATGATAGACTCCTACAACTTAGCAACAAAAAACCAGAGAATGGGCAAAGAACTTGAATGGATATCTCTCCAAATAAGATAAACAAATAGCTAACGAGCAAAAGAAAAGATGCTCAATGCCACCAATCATTAAGGAAATGCAAATGAAGACCACAGTGAAATACCGTTTTACATCATTAAGATGATGGCTACTAAAAAAAAAAAACACACAGGTGTTGGCAAGGATGTAGAGAAATTGCAATCCTTGTGTACTGTTGGTAGGAAGGCAAAATGGTGCAGCTGTTACAGAAAACAATATGACAGTTCCTCAAAAATTTTAAAATGGAATTACTATATGATCCAGCAGTTCCACTTAATATACCCAAAGGAATTGGAAGCAAGAACCGCAACAGATATTTATACACTCATGTTTATAGCAGCATTAGTCACAGTAGCCAAAAGGTCAAAGCAACCCAAGTTGCTTGGGTTGCAACTCTGTTAAAAGATGAATATGTAAACAAAATGTGATGTATACATTCAACAGAATGTTATTCAGCCTTTAAAGGGAAGGAAATTCTAATAGATACTACAGCATGGATGAACCTTGATGATATATGCTAAGTGAAATAAGCCAGTTACAAAAAGACAAACACTGTATGATTCCACTAATTTAAAGTAATTAGAGTAGTTATATGCATAAAGACAGAAAGTATTATAGAATAGTGTTTGCTGGGGCTAGGAGGAGGGAATGAGAAATCATTATTTAATGGGTATAGAGGTTTAGTGTTAGTTTTGCAACATGAGAGAGTTCTGGAGATTGAGTACAACATTGTTAATGTACATACTTAACAGTACTAAACTGCACACTTAAAAATGGCTAAGATGGTAAATTTTTTGTCATGTGTATTTTACCACAGTTTAAAAATTTAGGCTGGGCATGGTGGTTCATGCCTGTAATCCCAGCACTTTGGGAGGCCAGGGCTGGGGGATCACCTGAGGTCAGGTGTTCAAACTCAGCCTGGCCAACATGGTGAAACCCCATCTCCACTAAAAATACACACAAAAAAATTAGCTGGGCATGGTGGTGGGCACCTATAATCCCTTCTACTGAGGAGGCTGAGGCAGGAGAAACACTTGAACCCGGGAGGCAGAGGTTGCAGTGATCTGAGATTGCACCACTACACTCCAGCCTGGGCGACAGAGTGAGACTGTCTCAAAAAAACAAACAAACAAAAATTTTAGAAAATTTTTCCTGTAATCCCAGCACTCTGGGAGGCCGAGGCGGGTGGATCACGAGGTCAAGAGATCGAGACCATCCTGGTCAACATGGTGAAACCCTGTCCCTACTAAAAATACAAAAAATTAGCTGGGCATGGTGGTGCGTGCCTGTAATCCCAGCTACTCGGGAGGCTGAGGCAGGAGAATTGCCTGAACCCAGGAGGCGGAGGTTGCTGTGAGCTGAGGTCGCGCCATTGCACTCCAGCCTGGGTAACAAGAGCGAAACTCTGTCTCAAAACAGAAAAAAAAAAAGAAAGAAAATTTTTGAGCCATGAAGAATTAAACTTTAATATTGAGGACAGATCAGAATAGAGATGAGTGCTCTAGCCAAATAAAGTGTTTTTGAGGGCCTAGACTGGTGGAAGTATGAGTATGTATGTATGTATGTATGGTATTAGAAAGGCAGGGAGAGATGCTAGAGTTTCAACGCTGTGGCTTACAGCTTTTCTCAAATCTCCTTCCTAATATGCCTCCACCACTGGGTTGGGGACTTTGTTTTTAATGTGTTATTCTCTTGGTTTCTTTAATGTTTATTTATATCAATGTTACCTGAGCGTCTAAATGTCCAGGGAGCAGGTACCCTGCCAACTTAGTTCTCTATGTATAATATCCAGCACCCAGCATCATGGATAGATAGAGACTTAATCAATGCTATTTAAAGAACATGTATTGGTTAGGCAGCAATAATTTTAAAAGAACATTGGCCTGTTTTGTTTTTGTTTTTTTCTTTCTTAGAGATGGGGTCTTGCTCTGTCACCCAGGTTAGACTGCAGTGACATGATCACAGTTCACCGCAGCAGTGACCTCCCTGGCTCAAACAATCCTCCCGCCTCAGCCTCCTGAGTAGCTGGATCCACAGGTGGATACCACCACACCCAGCTAATTTTTAAATTTTTTTATGGAGGTGGGTTTCCACTATGTTGCCCAGGCTGGTCTCAAACTCCTGGCCTTAAGCAATCCCCCTACCTTGGCCTCCCAATGTGCTGGGATTACAGGTGTGAGCTCCTGCACCTGGCCAACATTGGCTTGGTTTTGATATTAATTGAACCTCTCATAAGCACATGAAGGGTTATAGGGTTTTACTGGTATCTGAAATATTTTTCTTTTTTGTTTTTATTTTTGTGTCTGAAATATTTCAATACTAGTAGTAGTTGTTTATAAAAATTGAATCCCCAAACTATGGTGAAAACATACAATTTAACACTTGTCTTACCTAAAACTGATGAGACCTCTAAACCTTTATGTCCTGACAGCTTGTGGTCATCAGTGATCCCCACATCAAGATTGATCCTGACTACTCAGTATATGTGAAGGCCAAAGATCAGGGCTTCTTTGTGAGGAATCAGGAAGGGGAAGACTTTGAAGGGGTGTGCTGGCCTGGTATGAAATCACTTTCTACACTTATTATTTCTGCTTGTTGAATCCCAATTAAGAAGGGTGCATGATCATGTATCTGCTCCCTTGTAGATGTCTCTTGCTCCTCTAGCTACATTTTAAGCATCTAATTTAAGGAAGAGACAGTATTGCCTTCTTTTGCATCTTTCATAATATACTGGTACTGTAATTTTATGTATTTATCAATAATTGAATGAGTGGATGAAAAATAAACAACCAAACCTCAGTGGCATGCTTTTTTTGTAACCAAATAGAGATAAAAATTTGGAGAATGAGAAAAGAGGAGGAGGAAGGAGAAAGAAAAAAAGGGGATCCTGCAAGCTCTCTCCTTGTGATTGCTCTTCACCCTTTTAACCCATAGTTTTGACTTCCAAGCCTTACATGAGTGACCTCAGCCACCCTGGTGACTATGGATTCTTTATTTCAAAAGTTATTAAAAATTATTAATTTAAAGCCTTGGTAGAAAGTCTCCAAGGACAAAAGGAAAATCACCACATATCATAGCACTCTATTATAAATCCATGTACTGTAGAGAAACTCTGTGCCTTTCTTTTTTTCTCTTATACCACTTGAACACACTTCTGTGTTCTCTTTAAGAATCAAGAGATCGGCCAGGCTCAGTGGCTTATGCCTGTAATCCTAGCATTTTGGGAGGCCGAGGTGGGTGGATCACTTGAGGTCAGGAGTTCAAGACCAGCCTGGCCATCATGGTGAAACCCCATCTTTAAAAAAAAAAAAAAGAATCAAAAGATTACTGCATAATATTTGCCATCCTTACTTACTTGGGCTATCTTAGGCCATCATTGAGGGACAGACCCCATTGTGATGCTTGTACATTCCCCTGGGCCTCTGGTGTTGAAAGGTCTAGTGATTGTCACTGGAGCCCAGCATTGCCTTTATGTACTTCTCAACAGACCACTCCTCTGTCAGCCAACTTTTATGTTTATGTAAGGTGCCTATTGCCCAGCTCTCACATCTGATATCTACTTTATAACACATATTACTGTGAGGGTCACTGTTCCTAACAGGCTGCCTATTGTTCTGCCTCCACAGGTCTCTCCTCTTACCTGGATTTCACCAATCCCAAGGTCAGAGAGTGGTATTCAAGTCTTTTTGCTTTCCCTGTGTATCAGGTTAGTTTTTATTCCTTTGCTCTTTTCTAGTTACTTGAAGGAGTGAAAGAAGCAGAAAAAGTGATTGCATAGAACCATTCATTTTCATTCAGTAGCTTTGATATATAATGCTTGTATTAAAAGGAAAGTATGGCCACCATATTGCAGACTCTGGGGGTGCTGGGAGGGGTGCCATATGCATTACCAAATGCACAAAAGCTGTGATTTAACCTCTATTATTATAGACTGTATGATATATCAAAGTACTTTATAGCAGAGGTTTATTATATTTTCAAATTGCTGTATATATTTTTATATAAAATTATATTCCATAACTTATTTAAATATGATGATACGTGTGAAAATATCTTACAACATATTTGTCATTAAAAGTGAGGTACAATTTTTAAACAAGCTCATAAGAATCACGGGGAAAACCGGAGAGGCCATATCTGGAGAACTGTTTTCAGCCAATTATGGTGATATTGATGATGGCAGTGATGATGATGATATCTAATGCAAATTGAATACTTGCTACGTGCCAAGCACTGTACTAAGGACTTCGTGTGCATCAAACCATTTGTCTTTATAATAACCCTCTGAAATTGGAACTATTAACTAAAAATCTAACCTCATAGATTAAGAAATTGAGACAGAAAAGTTTAAAAACTTGCCAAGGTCACACATCTAGTTAATGATGGAACCAAATTTTGAACTCAGATCTGTTTGTCTCTCAAGCCCAGCTTTTAAACACTAAACTTTAGTTTCTGGGCATCAAGTATTAGGGCACTAGTAAACAACTTAGTGCAGGGCCATGGGCCAAATCTGGCCATGCCTGTTCATTTCCCTGTTATTTGTGGCTGCTTTCGTACTACTATGGCAGAGATGAATAATCGAAAAAGAGACCTCATGGCCTGCAAAGTTGAAAATATTTAGTATCTGGACCTTTACCAAAAATGTTTCCCAATCCCTGCCCTAGATGATACTAACGGAAAGATAAGGTAGTTAAATATTTGGAAATAATACACCCTTGTTCATAAAGTATACATTTTAGAAATCGAGAAGAAAGAGTCAAAAGAAGACAAGTAAGCCTCCTCCAGGGATTTGAAAGACTTTGATGTGAGCAAGGTGACAGATGTATTCCATGGAGTCCCAGAAGGCAAGCTAGGTAGGCTCTGCGAGGGGAGTGTTACAAGGAGCAGGACTTCTGGAAAATAGTGGAATGAGCTGCCTGAGGGACTCCCTGTCTTTTTAGCTATTCAGTCAAATGCTGAAAGATCAGGGATTCTAGAAAAGACCAGGGATTCTGCAACGCCGTGTTAACTAGATGATTCAACTGTCCCTTCCGACTCTTAAACTGAACAATTCTGTGTAGAATACAAACTATAGATCATGTTAACAAACAGGTATATTGGCTGTCAAGTCTTTCAAAGTATTAGAGAGAAAATAGAATCTTGTCATGTTCAGCTATAGTTGCCCTTAGTTAAGAGTCGTGGCATATGATGCATGAGAATGAGCCTAAGTGTGAACATTCACAACCTTTCCCGTAGGGGTCCTGCTGGGAGGTCTTGGAATGAACTTGCCAGGCAATATATATTTCACAGACAACACAGGGCAGCATTCTTTATTCATCAGCAAATATTTGTTGAGATCTTTCTATGGACCAGGTGCTATTCTATCCTAGATGTTTGGGATTTATTAATGAACAAAACAGACAAAATGTCATGCCTTGTGGAACTTATACTCTAGCAGTGAAGCAGAGGACAGAGCATAGATAATAATTTTAAAAATGAGGTAGGAAAGTGGAATGGTGACAGCTACTATATAGATATCATCAATGTAGGAGTGTCATTATGACCAAGGTTTACTTCCTAGGGATCTACAGATATCCTCTTCCTTTGGAATGATATGAATGAGCCCTCTGTCTTTAGAGGGCCAGAACAAACCATGCAGAAGAATGCCATTCATCATGGCAATTGGGAGCACAGAGAACTCCACAACATCTACGGCTTTTATCACGTAAGACACCCAGAAAGAACTGGGCTCATGTGACCTGCCTTATGGCTGAAAGTCATTTGCTTTGTAAAATCATAGCTGTGCTCTACTGTTCGTTTCTCTTTGTGTGTCTTTTCTGACAACTGCAATGAGTCTTAGGTAGTAGCCAATACAAGATTTTTTATTATTTCTTCCTTTGCTTTTTTTCTTTGCATGATGAACTGGATGAACTTTTAAATATTATGAAATTAATTATAATATAAAAACCACTGCCTTGATAGTAGCCATTAATAAGAGGCACTCACTGGCTCAAACTTTTATTGATGCAAGCAGCGTATAAATATGTGAATGAAGGTAATTAAAACAAGTGTTTTAAGATTTCACAAATATCTAAATACAGCAAGTCTTATAGTCATACTAGAGGAGCAAGATTTAGAACATATATAATTTCAATAAGTATACTTTAAAAATGTGAAGCCTTCCTTAAGTACTTAGTTTTCTCAATAAAGGTGATAAAATTACCTTTCATTTACCAACTGCATCCTAAAGACTCGGCAGACACTTGCTGTCTTATATACCCATGGTTCTTTGTTATTTTCAAATTCTGACCATATTCCTGTGGCCCTCTTGCCTATTGGTATTTTCCAATGGGAGCTCCTGGCTAAATATAAGCACAGTTTTCAGATAGTAATGTGTTTGCATCTTTAACAGCCTGTTGCAATAACTAGAGACTACTTTAGTTAGTGAGCTTTCTTATTTAGGTCAGGAACAGTCATTTATCCTCTCTGAATCTCAGTTTTTCCTACCAATTAAAACCATCTGTCTCAGAGGTTGTTATGTAGACTATATGAGAAAATTGTATTAAGTGCCTAGCAATAGTAAGCACCAAAGAAATGCTAGCTGATTGTTTGTTATTGTTTCATTGCTATTGTTAACCAAAGAAAATTTTCCATTCTTTTAATAAGAGAATTTGGAGTAGTCTCATTACGCCACCAAAACTATTTTATGGATTTATTTTAATATTTTACATTTCACACTCCTGCCTGCTATTTGCTTTTTGTATTTTAGATAGCTTATTGGGGATGTCTGTACAAATCCAATCATCTCTTTGAAATTTGTCTTGTTTGGTGTTACAGCAAATGGCTACTGCAGAAGGACTGATACAGCGATCTAAAGGGAAGGAAAGACCCTTTGTTCTTACACGTTCTTTCTTTGCTGGATCACAGAAGTATGGTAAGGAATGGGAATGGCTCATATTAGACTTAAAAACATGTTAGCAACTTGGGTTTTTTTTTTAACCTTTTTTTTTTTTTTGAGACGGAGTTTCGCTCTCGTTACCCAGGCTGGAGTGCAATGGCGCGATCTCGGCTCACCGCACCCTCCGCCTCCTGGGCTCAGGCAGTTCTCCTGCCTCAGCCTCCTAAGTAGCTGGGATTACAGGCACGCGCCACCACGCCCAGCTAGTTTTTTGTATTTTTAGTAGAGACAGGGTTTCACCATGTTGACCAGGATGGTCTTGATCTCTCGACCTCGTGATCCACCCGCCTCGGCCTCCCAAGGTGCTGGGATTACAGGCTTGAGCCACTGCGCCCGGCCTTTAACCTTTTATAGAATGTAATGTTACTGTGTTAATGCCTTCATTTTCATTCCTTTTTTTTTTTTTTTTTCATTTGTTTGTCTGAGACAGAGTCTCACTTTGTTGCCCAGGCTGGAGTGCAGTGGTGCAGTCATGGCTCACTGCAGCATCAACCACCTGGGCTCAAGCACTCCTCCCACCTGTGCCTCATGAGTAGCTGGGATTACAGGTGCACACCACCATGCCCAGCTAATTTATATATGTATATGTATTTTTTGGTAGAGACAGCGTTTCACCATGTTGCCCAGGCTGGTCTCAAACTCTTGCATTCAAGCAATCTGCCTGCCTCAGCCTCCCAAGGTGTTGAGATTACAGGTGTTAGCCACCACACTCAGCTGATACCTTCCTTTTCAATAGCCATTGGCCAGGCCTTTGATTGTAGACCATGGTGTGCCTTGAAGTATGCATTTTGTCCTATAAGACAGAGTAAACAAATTTTAATCATTTGATTCTTGTTTCCCACTAAAGAAGTGGCCACTTAGTTGTTGGGAGAGTGACTTCAAAGTATTCAGATTGCTGGGATCGTCATCTTTGATCCTATCTCTCTGATTTATCAAATCCAAGGAGATAACACCTCTAACACATTCCATTAACCACCTGTTCCACTTAGTAATATGGCTTAAAATAGACCTGGCTGTTGTGTGTGGTCAGGGTCATTTATAACTGCATGCACTTTACCAGCTAATGCAGATCTGGTTCAGCTTCACCACCCTTGGCAGGAAGGCTATTTTAAGTCCCCTGACCTTGCATAAACAACTGAGAGCCCTTAACATACTGTGGACATTATTAAGCCTCCCATTCCAACCCTGAAAACCAGGCCCTGTGGCATTCTGGAAAAGGCAGTCTTAGGCAAAGATTCATGTACAGAGGTATTCAACACAGCAGTAGTCCTTGAAACAAAAGTAAGAAAGAAAATCTAAATATATAACAGTAAGGGTATAGTTATAAAAGTATGGTATAGTAATACGATAGATTATCGTGAGGCTATTTATGTTTTTAAATTTTTTTTCTTTTTTCTTTTCATTAGGCTATTTTAAATAGTAGTTTTAATTGCATGAGAAAATGTATGTGATATCATGATAAATAAAAAAGGAATGCCTGTTTATAATATTATCCTATTTTTTTAATTGATGTGTATCAGAGGCACATATTTTCAGGGTATGTGTGATAATTTGATATATTCATGTAATCAGAGTAATTGGGATATCTGTCACCTTAAATACGTATATTTTCTTTATGGTAGGAACATTTAAATTAATTCTCTTAATTTTTTTGAAGTGCACAATCAGTTAAGGCTAACTGTAGTCACCTTACTGATCTGTCAGACATCAAGTCTTATTTCTTATTATCTCAGTTGTATAAAAAATAAATGTAAGGTAGTAATTTAAATCAGTAAGTGGGTAGATAGATAGGCAGATGGTTAAATATAAGAAAATATAATACCTTGGTGATTATGAGTGATTTTCATTTTATTCTTTTACTTATCTTTATTTTATAATATGTCTGCAAGTATCATTTTTAATCACAAAAAAGTATTTTTAATTAAAACATTTACCATCAACAGTTTAAAAAAAAATAACAGAATATTTGGATATTAGGTTATTGTTGATCTCTTATGTTGATCCACTGCTTAACCTGTAGTACTCTGTGTGAAACTATCAGCTTTGCTTCACTGTGTAGTAAAACATTATAGGAAACACTACTTTGTTAAGTCATATGCTACGACCAATAGCCATAGAGAGCTTCTGACCAAACAACAGTATGAGACATGAAAATATCTGCATGTTAATGTGAGCTTTGTTTCTTGATGAGAATGTCTTCATAAGGGTTTCAAAATTATGATGTAGCTATGTATATATCTCACTTGAAGTCAAAGAAAAATTAGAATACTTTTTTAAAAGAACAATCCCTCAAAAATATTTTTTTTTGGGACAGGCTCAGTGGCTCACACCTGTAATCTCAGCACTTTGGAAGGCCGAGGCAGGTGGATCACCTAAGGTCAGGAGTTCAAGACCAGCCTGACCAACATGGTGAAATCCCATTTCTACTAAAAATACAAAAAACAAACAAACAAAAAAAAGCTGGGCATGGTAGCTCGCACCTGTAATCCCAGCTACTAGGGAAACTGAGGCCGGAAATCACTTGAACCCGTGAGTCAGAGGTTGCAGTGAGCCAAGATTGTGCCATTGCACTTCAGCCTGGGCAAAAAGAGTGAAACTTTGTATCAAAAAAAAAAAAAAAAAGGAAAAAATATATATATATATATATATTTTTTTAATTTTTTTTTTCCTTTTCTTTATTTTTTTTTTTCGGTGGCCAGGAGCAGTGGCTCATGCCTGTAATCCCAGCACTTTGGGAAGCCGAGGCAGGTGGGCAGTTTACTCAAGATTAGGAGTTCAAAACCAGCCTGGGCAACATGGTAAAACCTCATCTCTGCTAAAAATACGAAAATAAGCCAGGCATAGTGGCATGTTCCTGTAGTCAGCTACTCAGGAGGCTGAGGCAGGAGAATTGCTTGAACCTGGGAGACGGAAATTGCTGTGAGCGAAGATTATACCACTGCACTCCAGCCTGGGCCACAGAGTGAAAGAACGTCTCAAAAAAAAAAAAAAAAAAAGAATTTTTTTCTTTGGTCATAGGGCATCCTAAAATTTCTATGAAAGATTAAAGCAAAAATAGCTACCAAAATTATTTCGGTAGAAGATAGACAAAAATGCTTCAGGAGTAGTATATGTGTATGTGTATATATACATAAATATATATTTTTTGAGATGGAGTCTCACGCTGTTATCCAGGCTGTAGTGCAGTGGAGCGATCTCGGCTTACTGCAATCTCTGCCTCCTGGGTTCAAGCAATTCTCCTGCCTCAGCCTCCTGAGTAGCTGGGACTACAGGCATGCTCCACCATACCCAGCTAATTTTTTTGTATTTTTAGTAGAGACGGGGTTTCACCATGTTGGCCAGGATGGTCTTGATCTCCTGACCTCATAATCCACCCCCCTAAGCCTCCCAAAATGCTAGGATTACAGGCATGAGCCACTGCACCTGGCCGGGAGTGGTATATATTTAGGAAAATAAGATTTTCCCTTTTATGGCTCTTTGGTGAGTTACAATCTCTCATCATAAACCCTCCGCAACTATGCAGTAAACAAGAACAAGAACACTGTCTTCGTCAGAGTGCCTGGGCTCAAATCCTGACTATACCACTTAATAACTGTGTAACTGTGGGTAGAGTATGTATCCACTTCTTACTATACTTCTGTCATCTGTAAAATGGAGTTTATAATAGTGTTTATCTGATAGGATTGTTGTGATTAAGTAGGATAATACTAGCAAACTATTCAGCATAACACCTGGTTCAGTACGGGTTCAATAAATGTTAACTATTGTTATTGCTACTGTTTTTATGTCTCTCCTATATGGACTATAACTCTTCTCTCAAATTTTACAGGGTTTTCTTTGGGGAGCAGGAGGTGGTGGAGGTGGGAGGAAATAGGTATACAGATCAATGGAATAGAGTAGAAAATCCAGTATATCTAACACATATGTGATTAACTGCTTTGCAACAAAGTTTCCAAGGCAATTTAATGGAAAAATTATAATTTTTTTTCAGTAAATAGTTGTGAAACAACTGGATATCTGTGTAGGGAAAAAAATGAAACTACACCCCTACCTCATACCATATTCAAAATTAAACTCAAAAATTAACTCATTTTAAAAGCTAAAAATACAAGCAATTAAATGTCTGGAAAAAAACCATAGAATAAAATCTTTTTTTTTTCTTATTGAGATGGAGTCTTGCTCTGTTATCCAGGCTGGAATGCAGTGGCGCCATCTTGGCTCACTGCAGCCTCCACCTCCCAGATTGAAGCAATTCTCTTGCCTCAGCCTCCTGAGTAGCTGGATTACAGGTGCCCACCACCATGCCCGGCTAACTTTTGTATTTTTAGTATGGGTTTTCACCAGATTGGTCAGGCTGGTCTTGAACTCCCAACCTTAGGTGATCCACCCACCTTGGCCTCCAAAGTGCTTGGATTACAGGTGTGAGCTACCGCACCCAGCCCCCAGGCTGGTCTTGAACTCTTGTGATCCACCTGCCTTGGCTTCCCAAAGTGCTGGAATTACAGGTGTGAGCTACTGTACCTGGCCAGGAGAAAATCTTTATGGCTTTGAAATATACAAAGATTTTTTAGATAGAACACAAAAAGCATGAATCATTAAAGAAAAAAATGACAAGTTAGACTTCGTCGGAATTTTAAAATGTCTGCCCTTTCAAAGACATTGGTAAGAAAATGAAATGGCAAGTCACAGACTGAGGAAAAAAATATTTGAAATATACATACAGATCTGTTAAAAATACTTGTGTCCAGAATATGTAAAGAACTTTTACAACTCAAGAAGAAGAGAGACAACCTACTTTAAAAAACAACCTACTTTAAGAGTTGGTTTTCTGAAAAAGAAAATTAACAAAATAGATAGACTTCTAGCTAGATAATAAAGAAGAAAAGAGAGGAGATGCAAATAAACATCATTAGAAATTGCAAAGGAGATAATCTAAGAGAAATGGATAAATTCCTGGACATATACATCCTCCTAAGACTGAACCAAGAAGAAATTGAATCCCTGAAAAGATGAATAACAAGCTGCAAAATTGAATCAGTAATAAATAGCCTACCAGCTAAAAAGACCCCAGACAGATTCACAGCCAGATTCTATCAGATGTACAAAGGATAGCTGATAGCATTTCTACAGAGACTATTTCAAAAAACTGAGGAGGAGGGACTTCTCCTAACTCACTCTATGATGCCAGTATCATCCTGATGCCAAAACCTGACAGTGACACAAAAAAAGAGAAAATTTCAAGCCAATATCCTGGATGAATATTGATGGAAAAATCCTCAACAAAATACTGGCAGACTGAATTCAGCAACACATCAAAAAGCTTATCCACCATAATCAAGAAGGCTTTATCCCTGGAATGCAAGGTTGGTTTAACATACCCAAGTCAATAAATGTGATCCATCACCTAAACAGAACTAAAGACAAAAACCACATGATCATCTCAATAGATGCAGAAAAAGCTGTCAATAAAATTCATCTCATCCCTTCATGTTAAAAACTCTCAACAAAGTAGGTATTGAAGGAACATACCTCAAAATAATTAGAGCCATATTTGACAAACTCAGAGCCCACATCATACCGAATGGGCAATAACTGGAAGCATTCCCCTTGAAAACCGGCACAATACAAGGATGTCCTCCCTTACCCCTCCTATTCAGAATAACATGGTATTGGAAGTCCTGGCCAGAGCAATCAAGGCAAGAGAAAGAAATAAAGGGCATCCAGATAGGAAGAGAGGAAATCAAACTATTTCTATTTGTAGATGATGTGACTCTGTATCTAGAAAACACCGTAGTCTCAGCCCAAAAGCTCCTTAAGCTAATAACTTCAGCAAAGTCTCAGGATACAAAATCATGCATAAAAATCATTAACATTTCTATACACCAACAACAGTCAAGCCCAGAGCCAAATCAGGAACATAGTCCCATTCATAATTGCCACAAAAAGCATAAAATACCTCAGAATACAGCTAACCAGAGAGGTAAAAGATCTCTACAATGAGAACTACAAAACACTGCTCAAAGAAATTAGAAATGACACAAACAAATGGAAAAACATTCCATGCTCATGGATAGGAAAAATCAATATTTGTTAAAATGGCCATACTGCCCAATTTATAGATTCAGTGCTATTCCTGTCAAACTACCAATGACATTCTTCACAGAACTAAAACAAAAGTATTTTAACATTCGTATAGAACCAAAAAACAAAAACAAAAACAAAAAAACAAAGCCTGAATAGCCAAGGCAATCCTAAGCAAAAAGAACAAAGCAGGAGGCCGCAGTAACCAAAACAGTATGGCACTGGCACAAAAACAGGCATGTAGACCAATGGCACAGAATAGAGAGCCCAGAAATAAGGTTGCACACCTACAAGCATCTGATCTTTGACACAGCTGACAAAAACAAGCAATGGGGAAAGGACTCCCTATTCAATAAATGGTGCTGGGACAACTGGCAAGCCATATGCAGAAGATTAAAACTGGACTCACTTTGTATGCAGTATACAAAATTAACTGAAGATGGGTTAAAGACTTAAATGTAAAACCCAAAACTTTACAAAAACCCTGGACGACAACCTAGGCAGTCCCATTCTGGACATGAGATTAGGCAAAGATTTCACGACTAGGACACCAAAAACAATTGTAACAAAAGCAAAAATTGACAAATGGGATTTAATTAAAGAGCTTCTGCACAGCAAAAGAAACTATCAATAGAGTAAACAGACAACCTACAGAATGGGAGAAAATATTTACAAACTATGCATCTGCCCAAGGTCTAATATCCAGCATCTATAAGGAACTTAAGCAAATTTATGAGAAAAAAACAAATAGCCCCATTAAAAAGTGGACAAAGAACATGAAAAGATACTTTTCAAAAGAAGGCATACATGTGGCCAGCAACCATATGAGAAAAAGCTCAATATCACTGATCAATAGAGAAAAGCATATCAGAACCACAATGAAATACTCTCTGACACCAGTCAGAATGGCTATTACTAAAAAGTCAAAAGATAACAGATGCTGGCAAGGTTGCAGAGAAAGGAGAATGCTTATACACTGCTGGTAGAAGTGTAAATTAGTTCAGCCATTTGGAATGCAGTGTGGTGATTCCCCAAAGAACTAAAAACAGAACTACCATTTGACCCAGTTATCCCATTACTAGATGTATACCCAAAAGAATACAAATTGTTCTGTCATAAATACATATGCATGTGTTTGCTCACTGTAGCACTATTCGCAATAGCAAAGACATGGAATCAACTTAAATGCCTATCAGTGGTAAACTGGATAAAGAAAATGTGGTACATATACACCATGGAATACTTTTATCTGGCCATAAAAAAGAACGAGATATCTGGCCTGCAATCTGATCTTTGATCTTTTTTTCTTTTTTATTAAAAGTATATATATATGGATGAGATTATGCCCTTTACAGGAACATGGATGGAGCTGGAGGCCATTATCCTTAGCAAACTAATGCAAAAGAAACAGAAAACCAAATACCACATCTCTCACTTATAAATGGGAGCTCAATGATGAGAACATGTGGACACCTAGAGGGAACAACAGACACTGAGGCCTACCTGTGAATAGAGGGCGAGAGGAGGAAGAGGATCAGGAAAAATAACTAATAGGTATTAGGCTTAACATCAGGGTGACAAAATGACACAATAATCTATACCACAAACTCTTGTGACACATGAGTTTATTTGTATAACAAACCTGTGCATGTACCCCTGAACTTCAATATTTTCTTAAAATGAGCAGAAGATTTCTATAGACACTTTACAAAAGAAGGCACATGAAGAGGCTGGGCATGGTGGCTCATGCCTGTTATTCTAGTATTTTGGTCAGTCGAGGCAAGTGGATCACTTAAGGCTAGGAATTCAAGACCAGCCTGGCTAACATGGTGAAACCCCATCTCTATAAAAATGCAAAAATTGGCTGGGCGCGGTGGCTCACGCCTGTAATCCTAGCAGTTTGGGAGGCCAAGGTGGGTGGATCACCTAAGGTCAAGAGTTCAAGACCAGCCTGACCATTATGGTGAAACCCCATCTTTTAAAAAAAAATTTTTTTTGAAAAAAAAAAAAAAAGGCAAAAATTAGCCAAGCATGATGCGCACCTGTAATACTAGCTACTCAGGAGGCTGAGGCAGGAGAATCACTTGAACCCTGGGAGGCAGAGGTTGCAGTGAGCTGAGATGGAAGCACTGTACTCCAGCCTGGGCGAGTGAGAACAAGACTGTCTTAAAAAAAAAAAAAAAAAAAGCACATGTATTATATGCAAATTATATCTAAAAGTTGATTTTTCAAAGGGTTCCTCTATCAGACCTAAACTGTACTTCAAAAATAAGTGCAGTTTCAGAATATTTTCCTAGAATGCTTGTTTTCTAGATTTTAATAACTTTTCACATTAGGAAATTAATACTGTTCATTGTAGAAAATTTGAATTTATTTATTTTAAGGCAAGAAATCTGTTTTCATTAAGTTATCTTTTACAAATAAGGAATCTACATAGGAAATTGAAAACAATGATTGATTTGTGATTTTAATACATTGTTACTGGTGACCAAAGGTGCCGTGTGGACAGGTGACAACACAGCAGAATGGAGCTACCTGAAAATTTCTATCCCAATGTTACTCACTCTCAGCATTACTGGGATCTCTTTTTGTGGAGGTAAGATGAGTCCTTACCTGAGGCTTGAAGTGCAAGAAAATTAAAAGTGAGGGTGTTTTCATCAAAGTTGGTCACAAATTCCTTCTCATTAGCTGTTGTGGGCAGACAAATGTGGGAAAGAGAAAATGTGAGAAAGTGAAGAGGGGCGGATTAGAAAGCTGAGTGAAAGGCATGCCTCAGAGCTGTTTCTGTCTGGTCTGTGTTGAGGACATGAAATCAAGTTGTCAGAAAGGGATCCAGAGTGCTTCATGCCCTCATCCTCTTATCTCTTTCTTCCTAGATGCTCTTGATAATTAAGTTTCTCTTCCTGACAACTATCTTTTCTTCTTGAAAGTAAGAAAAATAAAATTACAAGGAATTTAGCAAATTGGAAAGTCAGTCTTACAGAAATTCTTTCTACTCAGCAGATTTAAAATTCTGTGGTGTAGTTTAACCATGCTAAAACAAAAAGATATGCTCTTGAGAAAGATAAATTTAGTTAAAATAAGATTTCCCAATAGGCTGTCTTCCCTCCATCCTAAGAATTCTCTGGAGATGAGAGATCTCAATATGGAAGGTGCTCAGGTTGGCTGCAGTTCCAGCTGCTCCTTGTTTCTGGTAGGAGTAGAGGCAAATTAAGGTCATTCTTCTGATGCATGTGGTTTTATGGCATTGGTCCATGTACAATACAAGGAATATGTCTTGTATCCCACTCAATGGCTTAACATGGAATTCTATTCTGCAGAACATCTAATTCTGATTATCTGCTTCTCTCCAGTTCTGTTTTTATCTTAGTTCAGCTGTTGCTTCCAAAGGAAATCAGTTGCCAACTGCCCCCCTCCAAAACACACACACACATACACACACACACACAGTTATTTAATCAGGCATACCTTTTTCAGTGTCTGGGTTATCTGGTTTGGGGAACATACAGGAATATTGATATTGAAGTAAAGCCTCTGACCTTTTAACAAGAAAGTAATATTCTGAAAGCCTATTGTCAGATCCCCAAACATGCTGAGTTATATAGTAAAAGGTCCCCTGTTTGAGACCACAGCTTTATCCTGTCATTTGGAGTGCATATATCGTGCTTTTCTCCTGTCAGTCTTCAAACCTTAATTTCCCTGTGTGCGTCATTTATTCAAAGCTTGGTTGCCTCACTTGGCCTTCCTTTGCTTCCAGCTGACATAGGTGGGTTCATTGGGAATCCAGAGACAGAGCTGCTAGTGCGTTGGTACCAGGCTGGAGCCTACCAGCCTTTCTTCCGTGGCCATGCTACCATGAACACCAAGCGGCGGGAGCCCTGGCTCTTTGGGGAGGAACACACCCGGCTCATCCGAGAAGCCATCAGAGAGCGCTATGGCCTCCTGCCATATTGGTATTCTCTGTTCTACCATGCACACGTGGCTTCCCAACCTGTTATGAGGTAAAAAAGCTTTATCCATTCAGGGACCCCAGCAACCAATCTGTAATAGAAGATCTCAGTGACTAAAGAATGCAGTGATTACAGTGATTTCAAGAGAAAGATGAAGAAAATCTACATGTTTAATCAAATTTCAGTCAGCTTATTGAGCAGCCATAGTAAACAGGGTGCTGGCTGTTGGGGACACAGAAGACAAAAACTAGATCCTCGGACTGGGTGCGGTGGCTCAAGCCTGTAATCCCAGCACTTTGGGAGGCCGAGGCGGGTGGATCACGAGGTCAAGAGATCGAGACCATCCTGGTCAACATGGTGAAACCCCGTCTCTACTAAAAAATTAGCTGGGCATGGTGGCACGTGCCTGTAATCCCAGCTACTCAGGAGGCTGAGGCAGGAGAATTGCCTGAACCCAGGAGGCGGAGGTTGCGGTGAGCCGAGATCGCGCCATTGCACTCCAGCCTGGGTAACAAGAGCGAAACCCCGTCTCAAAAAAAAAAAAAAAAAAAAACTAGATCCCCTACTGCTTTATGACTAAAGTGTGAATATTTGATATTTGATAGGAGACAGAATAGAGATACTTCAAAGAAAAAGGAAGTGGCTTTGTAACAAAATTCATTCAGAATTTAACCGATAAATATCTTCTCATGAAGAGTAACTTATTTTGCCAGGCTTAGGCTTGAATCATATGAAAAAGAATATTGGCTCTTTGGCACTTTCCCATTTCCTTTGAACAGTTATAAAACTAAAAATAGGCAAGGCGTGGTTGCTCACACCTGTAATCCCAGCACTTTGGGAGGCCGAGGTGGGCAGGTCACCTGAGGTCAGGAGTTCGAGACTAGCCTGTTCAACATGGTGAAACCCTGTCTCTAAAAACACAAAAATTTGCCAGTTATGTGGTGTGTGCCTGTTATCCCAGCTACTTGGGATTAGAAGATCTATAATAGAAGACCTCTAATCCCTTGGGAGGCTGAAGCAGGAGAATTGGTTGAACCCAGGAGGTGGAGTCTGCAGTGAGCCCAGATCACACCACTGCACTCTAGCTTCGGTGACAGAGCGAGATCCATCTCAAAACAAAACAAAACAAAACAAGACAAAACAAAACAAAACAAAACAAAACAAAAAACCCTTAAAGTATAAGTGATTGATTGCAGTAAGACATCTGTAATGTTAAAACAAGAATTTTTTTTATTTCCCAAGGCCTCTGTGGGTAGAGTTCCCCAATGAACTAAAGACTTTTGATATGGAAGATGAATACATGCTGGGTGAGCATTTTTGATTAATTATAGTCATGATGAAAACTGTAATTATGTTTTTATTATTAATATTTTCTAATATAGGAACACTCAAAAAATCCCTAGAAAGCCAAAAAATAAAAATAAAGGAAACACCTTCACCAAGATTTCTAATTGCATTATTAGTAGGATCATACCTCCATTCAGTTATGATGTAGCATTTATTATAATATTGTTCTTGCTAACATCCAATAAATCTATCCTATTTGTGGATGTCATTTAGGATTCTTGTTCTGGATTCACTCCTCTAAGCCTGAGATTACTATGGGGAAGGGAAGTAGATAAAACAGCCCAAGTGGTGATAGTAAAGAACCAGATGTAATAGTAGAGTTTTTATTTGGTTAACCTCTTCTTTAACAAAGATTAACTATCAAATCCAGAATATGGAAGTTTATCAACTTAGTAATGGAGCTCAAGAAGCCAGGCTAAGTGTACTGTTCCCCAAATGGTAAATCTCGTTTCTGAGTATTTAGTAGAGATGGGATTTCGCCTTGCTGCCCAAGCTGATCTCAAACTCCTGAGCTCAGGGGATCCACCCACCTCGTCCTCCCAAATTGCTGGGATTACAGGATTGAGCTACTGTGCCAAGCTCCATTTCTGAGTTCTTTAAGTCTCCACTCATCATTAGGTCTCAGTTTAATAGTCACTGCCTTGGAGATACTTCCCTGACCACTCCTTGTTTCCTTATACCTATTTCTACCTAGTCAACATTAGTCCCTCTTATGTAACTTTCATTCTGTTTTGTGATTTTTGCCTCTTTTGGTATTTGTCTTAATTCTAATTAATTTGCAGGTTTTTTTTAAATATATGTTTTCACTAGCTGTAAACTCCATAAGGTCAGGAACCATCCTTATCTTATTGGCCACTATATCCCCAGAGCCTACCATGGTGCCTGGTATGCAGTAGGCACTCAAAATAAGTATTTATTGAATAAAAGAGCAAATTAGGCCAGGCGCGGTGGCTCAAGCCTGTAATCCCAGCACTTTGGGAGGCCGAGGCGGGTGGATCACGAGGTCAAGAGTTCGAGACCATCCTGGTCAACATGGTGAAACCCTGTCTCTACTAAAGGTGGAAAAAATTAGCTGGACATGGTGGCGCGTGCCTGTAATCCCAGCTACTCAGGAGGGTGAGGCAGGAGAATTGCCTGAACCCAGGAGGCGGAGGTTGCGGTGAGCCGAGATCGCGCCATTGCACTCCAGCCTGGGTAACAAGAGCGAAACGCTGTCTCAAAAAAAAAAAAAAAAAAAAAAAAAAAAAAAAGAGCAAATTAGTAAATGGGTGAATTTTACCTATGTGTTGCTCCAAGGTCAAATCAAAGTTGATAATCCAGATTGCCTTTAAGAAAACTAGAGGCCAGGCATGGTGGCTGATGCCTGTAATCCCAACACTGCGGGAGGCTGAGTACAAGAAGATTGCTTAAAGTTAGGAGTTTGAGGCTAGCTTGTACAATATAGCAAGACCCTGTCTCTACAAAAAAATTAAAAATTATCATGGTGGGCGTGTACCTATAGTCCTAGCTACTCAAAGGCTGAGGCTGGAGGATTACTTGAGCCCAGGAATTAGAGGCTGCAGTAAGCTATGATTGTACTGCTGCACTGCTGCCTGGGCAACAGAGTAAGACCCTGTCTCCTGTCTCTAAAAAAAAAAAAAGAAAGAAAACAACAGCCTTTCTGATTATACCTGTCAAAGCAAGAGATTCTGAGCATCCACACTAACCACACTTCTGGATAATAGTTGTGGGCTCCCCAACATCAGCATCACTCACAGCAAACAATGAAGCACTTGGAAAGGAGCAATGATACTTTGACTATTGACACACTAGCAGATAGATACAAAATGAGACCAATGAACTGTGTCAGAGTCCTTTTCTATAGTCTCAGTATACCCAAAGTACAGTAATGACGGGTGATGACCTTTTTGAGCTTACCTCTTTGAGTGCCTGCCCTCTCTTTGTCATTGCATCTCTGACAAATCATTGGTTCAACTCAGTCTCTGCCTCTCTGAAGTTCATAGTTGGGTGTTCCATAACACCATGATAGCTAGCACTCAACTAAAGGGAAAGGAAATTTTTAGACCTGTAATAATGATACTCAACTTTATTTCCTCTCCATTGCTTAGGGAGTGCATTGTTGATTCATCCAGTCACAGAACCAAAAGCCACCATAGTTGATGTGTTTCTGCCAGGATCGAATGAGGTAAGAGTAATAACAAACAGCCACATATCTGATATGTCTCGTATCTCTCATCCCTTCATTTCTCTTAGGAAAGAGATGTGTTTGTGAACACACCCCAAATAATTGTAGCAAGTAATGATTATAATAAGTCGTCATGACCACTGTCCTCAGAGGTCAAGAAACTTAATGGAGGAGAAGAGAGAGAAAAATGAATTGATGAGGATTCTAAGGAGGATCAAAATGATTTTTAATCTTCACACTTTGATTAGTAAAAGTGAGTCCTGATAAACACATCAAGGCTTGGCGTAGGAAGAAATCTTCAGTATGCTATGAGGTATCAAACTGGGGGAAAGCAGGTATGAAGAGACTTTGCTCTTTCGTATGGGCCTATCAAAAGCCTGAATTTTTGATACCAAAAGCTGGTCTCAGTGTACTCACCAAAGTGGGTAGAAAGTAACAATAGTGACTCCCCTCCCAGATTCCTCTGCTCTGTTATTATTGTCACTAATTACTGTCCCAGGCATAAAATATCATTTTGGACCTGCTGGAGTCCAGTGCATTGAACCCAGGAAGGGCACAGGGGAGAGGAGGGAATACTGGTGGTCTGCAGGTAGAGAGCCATGGGTAATATGAGCAGCCTCCAAAGACAGGCCACAGATAGATCTAGAGGGGCCAGAAGAAGAGCTGGAGCAAAACTCAGGGCACCAGACTAAGGGAAGAGGGTGTGGAAGGGAGAGCAGGAAGGAGACATAACCCTAGAGAGCATCCTTGAGCACCATAGCATGCCACAGGCTCCAGCAGTCAGGGAAAGAGATACGCGGGTATGGAGCTGGCATCGGACTGCTACACCACATAGTCATGGGCTGTCAAGGCAAGTGGCAAGGTAGCTAAGCCAGACCGCACTCACTGCTCAGTACTGTCACACACTGGGCTGGCAACTCCACGAAACCACACTCAGCGCCATGTTCTCCTTCAACCTAGCTTTGGTTGTTCTTTAGTTTCTTGAGGCTTCTGTAACAAATTACCACAAACCTAATGGCTTAAAACAAAACTTTATTCTCTCACAATTCTGGAGGCTTGAAGTCTGAAATCAAGATGTTGTCAGAGTCAGTTTCTTTTAGAGGCTCTGAGGGAGAATCTGTTCATGCCTCCATCCCAGCTTCCAGAGGGGCTTCCTGGATTTGTAGCCACATCACTGCAGTCTCACCTGTCTTCACGTTGCCTTTTCCTCCGTGTGTCTCTGTCTGTCTCTTAAGGACGCTTATGGTCACATTGAAGGCCCACCTGGATAATCTGGGATAACCTTCTTATCTCAGGATCTTTAACTTAATCAAGCATGTGACCGTAGAAGGTAATATTCATTCATTCCTTCCATGGATTGTGACGTGAATACATCTTTTTGAAGGGCCACAGTTCCACCTACTATGCTTGTCATTTTTGACAGAACAATAACCAGGCTTCTCTCCAGAATGTTCATTAACTATTATCTGTCCTCTTGGCTTCTCCAGTTATTTGGAGTTCTGAAGTTGAGGGCACTTTCCTAAGGTTCCCCTGCCAAGTAGAAACTTGAGGAAACGGTTAAATCCAGCAACTGCTGAATAAATGCCCTGCCTGATATTTCTGCTGAGAATTTCTCAAGTTGATTTCCAGCAAAGTGGGGGGTTCCCATTAAGAAGAACTAGTCCCTTTCCAACTTACTCACAGATTTTTACTCATAATCTATCATCATTCCAAACACTTCATTGTGAGTGTGTATTATGTTCCTTCAGTGCTATTTCCTGGGCTGTTTTGTGATTATCTTGCTTCACATAACTGCCATCTAAATGATGTGGTAATTCCAGGAGGTTGCAAAATAGACTCCAGGGCCGCCAGAAAGTGTCTCAGCTAAAAGAAAGAAAAAGATGTTTGTTTTAATTCTGCTTCTGATGATATTTTAAGAATTTATCCCATAAAATTACTTTATGAGACCTTATTGGTACTTCAGCATCTAAACCCCCTTGAAGAACCTTATTCTTCAATTGTACTTAAAAAAAAAAAAAAGGTACTGTAGTAGTAATTCACGTTTCCATTTGTTTTCCTCCCAGGTGTGTTTCCTTCTCTGATGCTTCCTTTTCTTCTGCTTCTTTTGTAATTTATTTGCCTGCAATGTGCTTGTCTTCTTTGTTTTTTTTTTTTTCCTCTTCTTCATCACTTCTTTCATACTAGAAGCATTAAGTTTTTATAAGCCAAGTGGACTTTAAAATTCATGAGGATGGCTGGGTGCAGTGGCTCACGCCTGTAATTCCAGCACTTTGGGAGGCCAAGGCGGGTGGATCACTTGAGGTCAGGAGTTTGATACCAGCCTGGCCAACGTGGCGAAACCTCATCTCTACTAAAAATACAAAAATTAGCAGGGCATGGTGGTGGGCACCTGTAATCCCAGCTACTTGAAAAGCTGAGGCGGGGAGAATCGCTTGAACCCAGGATGTGGAGGTTGCAGTGAGCTGAGATCATGCCAGCCTGGGCAACAGAGAGAGAGACTATGTCTCGAAAGTAAAATAAAATAAAAATTCATGAGGACCGGAACTATGTCTTTTCTGTTCAGTCATAAATACTCAGCACCTGGCACAGTGCTGGGCACATAGAGGATTGTTCAATAAGTAGCTTTTGGATGAATAGAGAAACAAATGGCCTTTTAGTTAAATTAATCAGTCACAGTCCTTTGATATCTTTTTAAAAGCACATGTTCTTCCTAACTTCTACCTAATGTATTTTCTAAGTTACACTTATTTCAGCTTTCTGGTTATTTGAAATCCAGGTAAGTGGATGCTTCACTGAGTATTGAAATGGTGAGCAGAGTTGTTGATGTACTCTTTTTTACTGGGCCCCCTTACTTTCTAGGTCTGGTATGACTGTAAGACATTTGCTTGTTGGGAAGGAGGGTGTACTGTAAAGATTCCAGTAGCCCTGGACACTGTAAGTTATTTTCAGACTACTGTTTTTACCTATTCTGCTCTATTGGTCAGCTAGGGCTGCCATGACAAAATACCACAGACTGGGTGATTTTACACAACAGAAGCTGCTTTTCTCAAAGTTTCGGAAGCTGGAAGTTCCAAATCAAGGTGCCAGCTGAATCTTTTCCTGGTGAGGGACTTTACCTGGCCTATAGACTGCTACCTTCTTGCTGTGCCCCCACATGACAGAGAGAGATAAAGAGAGGGCGCTATCTCAGTTCTCTTCTTACAAGGACACTGTGCCTGTCATTTCAGGAACCCACCCTTATGACCACATTTTTCACCTTAGTTAACATGATAAAGGCCCAATCTATAAATATCTGGGGCTTGGGCATTCAGCATTTGAATTTGGAGATACAAACATTAAGTCCATAATGTGTTCCTCTATAGAAAAAAACAAGGATGCTAGCGTTCTGTAGACTAGCACACAGAGAAACAGAAGGTAGGTTCAGGGATGCCTAGTGCTGGGGCAGAGGGTTAGGGAGTCATGGGGAATGACTGTTAACTGGTCCAGGGTTTCTTTTTGGGGTGATGAAAATGCTTTAAAAATGATTGTGGTGATGGTTGCATGGCTCTGAATGTGCTAAAAATTGTTTAACTGTACACTTTAAGTTGGTGATTTATATGGTATATTAATTCTGACAAAGCTGTAAAATGCGAGGAAGAAAATAGTTAAAAATCACATCTACTCTGATTTCACAGAGTGAGACATCAGGGACAAACACAGCTCTTCCCTGTATGTTTACATTTGTGTGTCTAAAAAGAACAAACACACTAAAAACATAGAAAACATGGTAGTCACCACATGTGCCATCTGGAATGTCATTCTACAGGACTAAAGCAAAAAATGGGAGTTTTCAGTTGTAACCCTGGGCCCAAGGAAATGCATCAATTATGGAGTTAAAATCAAAGTGGTCCATCCAGGCTGTCTTGAGTTTCTAAAGGGAACTTCCTTCCTATATCTGAATCACAACCACTGCCACACTACCACAGTGTGAAGATTGATAAGTAGATACTGATATTATTTTGTAAACTATCAGCAGCAATATGAACCCCATTATTTAAAAAAAATAATTTCAGCTATCAACTTTCAGATCTAGAAGAGAACTTTAACAATCATCTACTATAATCCCTCACACAGATAAAGAATAAACCTGAGATTCAGAGAAGTTAATTATTTGACCAGGGGACACAGCAAACTTGTGGCAGAACTGAGACAAACCCCCAAGTGCATTTCCTTGGGCTGGACTCCCATTCTAGAGCCCATTTCACTCTAACTTATGGCCTTGTTCTTTGGGAAAAAAAAAGAAAAAAGAAATGTGTGGGGAGATGGAAGTGCTTTACTTCTCGCTGCAAAGGCGAGGTAAGCAGAGATTGGACATCTGAGCTACTCTGTCCTCAATCTCAACTTCATGTGTGTTCTTGTACTCTCCTGCATGCTCCTTCTTGAATCAAGGCAAAGCAGAAACCCTCCTATGACACAGGCAGCTTCCTTACAGGAGGCGGGAAACCTACCCAGGCGTTGCTGCCTAGAGTGCCATTTCAGAAGACCCATGGTTATGGGCCTGTTGTTAGGGTCTCTTAAAGTGCCCTTGGTGATCTATAATATAACAGAAACAGTTTCACAGATTTACCCTCAGAATGGAATCAGTCATCCAGGTGAGCCATAGAAACAGGGAGCGAGAAGGGGACAGGCTGCAGTGAGTGAGGACAAAAGGCATCTGCCCAAACCAAAAATCCACCATCAGTTATACATGCACACATACAAACAGACTTCTGGGCCCACTTGCAAAGACAGAAAACTTCGTTCTTTAGCAGGGCTCTAGAAATAAGCATGTATACTATACTGATAGAAAATTTAAAATACAAAATAGGAAAGGCCATTTATAGGATAGGCAGAAAAGAATTCATCGCTTAAGAGGAAAAAACAGCAAAGGCAGATGTAGAGAACAAACCAGTGAAGGGTGGGAACTTTCCCTAATAAGTAAAAAATGGACCATTCTTCAGTGTTAGTGCTGTTTCCTTTTAATACCAGGACCCCCATATTTGCCATCTCCATTCCCTAAAATTTATTTTGCCTATGAATCTGTACTTGTAAAGAGTGTGAAACTTTTAAAATGAAGTATTTTTAAATTCTACCTTGAAATTTTCTTATATGAATACTGCTTCCCTGAGCATGCTGCTGTGTTATAGATACCAGTGTTTCAGCGAGGTGGAAGTGTGGTACCAATAAAGACAACCATAGGAAAATCCACAGGCTGGATGACTGAATCTTCCTATGGACTCCGGGTTGCTCTAAGCACAAAGGTATTTGGAAAATCTGTTACCCTTTTTGTTTCTACTCTCTCTTTCCAGTGGTAGCCTTTTGAGTGTGGGATACCACCTAAAAGTGGTGAGCTCCATCTATGAGATAGGTGCTCCTGACATTTATCTAGAAATCAAGGTTTTGAATCATTTCTGTTCTGAATCATTGTTCAGCTTGTGTGCTTTTCCTGGAATTGTTCTTAAGGGAACTCTGAGATCTAGGAATGACAGAATGTTCCTCTTGGGCACTTGACTGTTGGTGCTCTTGAGCTTAACACTGATTACTACTAGAATGAATGCTTTTTGGGCCATAGGCAGCCTTCTCACATAGATAGCCCAAAAACCCAGTCTCCATTAAATGGTACCCATATCTTTGCACCATTTCAGAGACCTCAGTCCCACCCAGTGATTTCTCATCAGGTAGCTCCAACAACTAAAACCAAAGCCTGGGAGGATCTAGAAATGATGTGTCATTTTGAGAAGATTTTTGAGCCTAGTGAGGCCTGTAGCAGATTCTTCTTCTGTCGGTCTATTCAAATATAATATGGGGCCAAACACACACCAAACCTTACTCTTAACTATATTAATACTTATTTGCATTGATATCAGTATTATAAAATGATTCACTTACACATTTTTTTCTTCCTTTTTACTTAGGCATGTCTTCTTGGGCCAAACTGTGGGCCCCAGACCCATGTGAGGCTCCAGAATAAATACAAAAGACTAGAGATTCATAGCATATCGAGTATTGTCAATAATAAATTGCCACATGGAGTGCTGTGACATTGTTTGACATGTAATAGGGGTCCCCCTACTAAGAAAAAAAAAAAGAACCAGATACCATTCTCTAAGTGGAGGGTCTTCTAAAGACAGTTGATCTCATCTATTATATATTAATTTTTTTTTTAACATCAGTATCATTCTGTGAACTTTCTTGGCCTTGTCATCACATTCTGGTGGAGTATTTTTCAGGGAATTCACTTATACAACTGAACATATATTATAGTTTAAATTCTTTCAACAAAGCCTAACTCTTTGTGCTCCTCTTACGTGACTTTCCTATTGTTTTACTATCTACTCAGGAATGATTGGCTATTGAATATATTAAATATTTGTACGACTACCTCATATAGCTTGAATTTTTCACAAACTTTTTACTCTGTTGTAACCCTTTAGGAGCTGACATTCTTTTCCGGTAAAGCTATTGTATAAGCACATTTTGTCTCTGTGATTCATTCTCCAGGGTTCTTCAGTGGGTGAGTTATATCTTGATGATGGCCATTCATTCCAGTACCTCCACCAGCAGCAATTTTTGCACAGGAAGTTTTCATTCTGTTCCAGTGTTTTGATCAATAGGTAATGGCAGCTAAAGAAATTGTTTGTTTTCTTAAATAAGTCACACTATCTGTTTGATATCCTCAAATCCACAGGTGATGTTTTAAGATACTATTTAAAGAAACGAATGAAGGCCATTTCTGGAGTTTTTTTGTTTGTTTTTTTGTTTTTTTTCTTTGAGACAGAGTCTTGCTCTGTCGCCCAGGCTGGAGTGCAGTGGCAGGATCTTGGCTCACTTCAACCTCTGTCTCCCAGGTTCAAGCAGTTCTCCTCTCTCAGCCTTCTGAGTGGCTGAGACTACAGACCTGTGCCACCACACCCGGCTAATTTTTGTATTTTTAATAGAGATGGGGTTTCACCATGTTGGCCAGGCTGGTCTTGGAACTACTGACCTCAGGTGATCCACCCACCTCAGCCTCCCAAAGTGCTGGGATTACGGGTGTGAACCACTGCACTTGGCCCATTTCTGGAGTGTTTTTCAACCACTCTGCCATAAATGATCCTCCCTTATTGTCTCTACCTTCCTTTCCTCTACTTTCTAAAAAATAAAAAAGGACTTAATTTAAGCTCCCACTAATTCCATTCATTCATTCATTCACCAATTCACTAAATATCTGATTTATTTTATTTTATTTTTTTATTGCATTTTAGGTTTGGGGGTACATGTGAAGAACATGCTATGATTTATTATAATTTAATTATAACATTCAGTCACATTTGTAACTTTTGTGTTCTTCAGTGATTTTTCTTCAAATACTTGTGAAAGAGAGCCTAATTTGGCACCAGTTAGCTGTTCCTTGGTACATAGAGTGGTCTTTTTTTAAGTTTTTCTGGGATGGCGTCTAATTCTGTCACCCAGGCTGGCATGTAGTGGTGTGATCTCAGCTTACTGCAACCTCCACCTGACAAGTTCAGGGGATTCACGTATCTCAGCCTCCCAAGTAGCTGGGACTACAGGCACGCACCACCACTCCTGGCTAATTTTTATTTTTTTGGTAGAGCCAGGAGTTTGCCATGTTGCCTAGACTGGTCTTGAACTCCTGACCTCAAGTGATCTGCCTGCCTTGGCCTCTCAAAGTGCTGGGATTACAGGCATGAATCACCGTGCCTGGCCAAGTCATCTTTTATTATCTCTTCATCCTAATAAATATGACTCCTATATGGATCATGCCTCCAGGGGACAGCTGGGAGAGGAAATCACAAGGCTGGAGATGTTGAGCTGGCAGCCACTTCAAACCCGTCACTGTCCTTTTAATACTGTTTGTATCTATTCCAGTTCTGCCGACCAGAGGGGTCATTATCCCAGCAAGTGTGTGGTGGAGCAAATCTTGGTCTTAGGCCTCAGGAAGGAGCCATCTTCTGTGATTACCCACTCATCCGGTGAGAAAGCAGTCCATTCTGACCTTACCATTTGTTTTTATAAACAGAATTATCTGGAATGAAGAGATGATTAGTCCCCAAACCGACATAATATGCTTAGTCTGAGTGGACTGTTTGCTTCAGGTAGAGGTGAAATATACTAGTCTCTAGAATAAATGATGCCATCTTGCTTCTCTTCTTTAGTTGATTTTTCTGCTCACTTTTAGTGTTTTTCTAAGGAAACTTATTTGGGGCTTGAAATAGTATTGTAGCTTCTCTGAATATTTGTTTAAACTATAGCTATCTGAAGACCTGCAGAATCCTACCCATGTGTTTGGAGTTTATAAAAGGGCAGGATGGGACTTAAATCCTTCCTTGCTTCCTGAAGTTCTTAGACAAATTTATTTGTTCCTTATGGTTTCTTTTCAACCAATCTTGTGCTCAAAACAATGAAGTTTTCCATGTTTCTAAAACTTCACGGAAGTGCATGGGTAAAGTGCTATTAAATTGGAGTGGGGTATAAGATTTTGTACTCGAGTGAGAAAACATTTCAGATTTGAAGAAAATATTTTTCCCTTCTAGAGATTCATCAAAATTTCCCTCTTTTATCGTCTTGCTGTTTAGATGGTAAAGATCAGCCTGTGGCTTTTATGTATTGTGCCAAAACATCCACCCTGAGCCTGAAGAATCTCTCACTCAACATTGCCACTGACTGGGAGGTCCACATCATATGACAAAGAACTGCCCTTGGTGACATGAGCAGGGACCTGCCTGCCCTTTTCAACCTTTCCCCTTGCCTTTTGTGAGATTTGTGCTGCAATCTGCTTGCCTTCCCTGAGTCAAAATAATCTTTCATTCATCGCCATTATGCCAATGAACAATAGATTTCATGTTTTAAAATTTCCGATTTTACATGTTAAGATGTAGTAGCAGTATTCCTTGTGTCAGACATCACTTTTTTTCCTGGACACATACCCCTGAGACATATATAGTGTTCAGGAGTCTTCCTTTGCTTCCATTCCTTGAGCAGGGCTGCATGGGTCTGTTTTAATCTGGGCCAAGCCTACCTGGGCAGCCCATTTGCCAGGGCTTGCCTCAGGCCATGTGACATTGGTGCTTTGGCTGCAGCAGCTGAGTTGCTCAAGGCCAGTCTCCAAGTGGACAGCAGCCTCTGGTACTCCCCAGTTATCTTTCACCTACATGGGCTGGACAAAGCAGCCCTCTTGGGTTTGTACTGCATGCTCTGCAGCAGTGGGAATTATTCTTCCCTAAAGATCAACTTGGCAGCACAAAGGATTCTTTTTCCTTTTGTGCTTCTCAGGCTAATCTTAAAATCCATGTCTTTTAAGCTGTTTTTTAATTAAGTGCTATCTACTAACCAAAGAATATTTGTAATATGAGTAAGCTATAATTAATAACAGTGAAATAAATATCCATGTCTACTTCTACTGAACTTCAGAAGTAGAATTCATGGCTGGCTGGGATGAGGCAAGTGAGGCCCTGGTCTTGGGCGCAAAATTTAAGGGATACCAAAAAATACAGTAATCAAAATAAGTAATATTTCAGTGCACTATTTTTAAAAATCAGAATTAATGCAACAAATACCCATGATGAACAAAATATCAAAATTTAAAATAAAAACAGGATTCATATTGCTGAGTTTTCCTTTTGTCCCAGGCTTTAATATGGCTTGCCATGAGGCAAAACATTACAACGTACCAGTCATGTTATGATGCCCATGGATCTACAGACCCCAGTGGCTCCCTGCTGCCTGCTGCACCATCTGTTTTGGCAGCCTCAACTCTTTAGCACTGTTTAGCATACACCTCTTCTCATCAGGCTTCCTCCACTTAGCAACTTGCCAACAGCCCCCTCTGCACCTTCTGATCCCTGGGCAGCAATATCTCCCCCAACCCTTACCATCCTTCTAGGCCCAACTCAAATCCCACTTTCCCGTGAAGCCTAACTACCCCAACACTCCTATCCCCACACCCATTAGCAGTGATTTTGCCCTTCCCTGAAATGCTGTCCCACTTATAACTGTGCTCTACTTAGCATTCTCAGGGATCATGTCTTAATATTTCCAGTATGTCTCTGCTTTCCTACTAGATTGTATATTCCTCCAGAGCATGTTCTATTTCTCTTCTGTCTTACAGAGCACCATTATACCTGACTTTCAGTAACTGTTCGGCTATGATTGCTTAGCTGGTGGATTTAATTGATTAAAAAATTATAATTGAATGTTTTTCCATGTGATTTACTTTTCTGACACAAGACTTTTCCCAAAGGCAATCAATATTGTGTATTTCCGCATGGACACATTTCATTGTATGAGTTGAGATTTGAGCTCTGCACCATATGTAAGCTCACAGAGACCCACACAGATTCTTTGCTCGTATTTCTGTAAGTTTTGCAGTTGAGAAGAAAGGAGCAATCTTGTATTAGCTGAAGCCATAGTTCCTGTCTTCAGATGTCTCTTGCCAACCTAAAATAAAACTTAGCCAGAAGACTGGGTCCTCTTCCCTAAAATAAATGATAGTTTTTAATAGCATTTAAAGTTCAATAAGAACTATCTTTAGGTCAACGTTTATAACATGTCTATTCTTCCATTTAAAATATCGTTGGGGGAATGGAACAGTAACTAGTAGAGTAAGTTAATGAGGAACCGCTCTGTTTTGACCCAAATCTATATTGAAACATTTGACTACAGACAAATGGACAGAAAGAAAGTCTGGGTGTTTTTGATGGTTTTCTGCTCTTACTGCTTCTCACACTTTACCTACCTCCCATTGCTGAATTTGTGTGCTAGAGAGCAATATGGGGCTGAGTTGTCCTACAAGCATTAAATTACTTTGTTGTGGTTAATTCTTAATATGATTTCACGGGAAGCTGGATTTTATATAAGGAATTTTATTCATTTCAACAGGGTTCCTAAAAAAGCTCTAAAATGAATACGTAGTATGTATTTCCTTCAAGATGTAAATGTCAAGGAATGAGTTGACAAATCAGTTTAAAAACGGAAACTACCCAACAGAAAAATGTAAGTATAATCTTTCAGGATGGCAATCTGGCAACAATATCAAAAACCTTTTAGCTTGTTTGGGCTCAGGCTAGTCTTGAACTCCTGGGCCCCAACGATCCTCCTACCTTGGCCTCCTAAAGTGCTGGGATTATAGGCATGAGCCACTGCTCCCAGTCTTACCTTCTCTTTTGGAACAGTTGGCAACATTGAAATGGGATCTTTTGATTACATGGTAATTTTTTTACTTTTAAGCGTTGTGTTAGGATCACATAGAACAATTTTCTTTGTTTTAAGGAAAATACAATTCTGGAGTTTGGTCTGTGTGCAGAATTCCTTCACTTTGTCACCTACCTTTCACTATCAAGGCATCGTAATGATAAGCAGCAGAAACAGTCAAAGCACATCAGCATTGGGAGCTGAATGGTTTTCACCTAATTAACCACTCTGCCTAATAAGCCTGAGTAATGAGATTCCTCTGACAATATCAAGCATTCCACTCTGCTTTTAGGATTTCCACCTACCAAACCCTCAGAGAGCTACTCTAGACTAAAAAAACTTCTCAGGCCAGGAGATAGAAAGCCATCAGCAGCTCCACTGGAAACAGGCTATCATATTAGCCACTGACCACAGAGGCCATATAGCTAGCATTCTAGGAGAAATAACAGAGACATTGGCATCTAATATCAGATCTGCTTGTCTCATGACCAGCCTTGCTAAAAGCTCTAGTGCCACAGCAAGACTTGCCAGAATTAGACAGCTGCTGCTTTATTTTTTTCAAGACAGAGTCTCACTCTGTCACCCAGGCTGGAATGCAGTGGCATGATCTCGGCTCACTACAACTACAACCTCTACCTCCTGGGTTCAAGCAATTCTCCTGCCTCAGCCTCCCAAATTGCTGGGATTACAGGTATGTACCACCAGGCCTGGCTAATTTGTATTTTTAGTAAAGATGGAGTTTCACTATGTTGGCCAGCCTGGTCTCAAACTGCTGACCTCATGTGATCCACCCACTTTGGCCACCCAAAGTGAAGCAGCTGCTTCTTGACAGTTGTTTCCAGCCAGGCCAATGGTATTAGACTGCCGTCTAGTCAGAGCCAGGAGAAGAGGAGCCCAGCTACTTATATGCAAGGCTATGCCGATCTCATGCCTAATTCACATCAGTTAAATCTTATTCATACATTTACTTCGATGGAAATCAAGAGACCTGGAGTCTACTTTGGTTCTACAGTGAACTGGCTGAGTGATCTTGGCCATGGAATTTAACCTCTCTGTGCTTTGTTAAAGGGAAGATCTCTAGGCCTGGTTCAGTGGTTCACGCCTGTAATCCCAGCACTTTGGGAGGCCGAGGCGGGTGGTTCACTTGAGGTCAGGAGTTTGAGACCAGCCTGGACAAACTTTTTAGTAGAGATGATGAAACCCCATCTCTACTAAAAATACAAAATTAGCCAGGCCTGGTGGTGCACACCTATAATCCCAGCTACTGGGGAGGCTGAGGCAGGAGAATCACTTGAACCTGGGTGGCAGAGGTTGTAGTTGTAGTGAGCAGAGATCATACCACTGCACTTCAGCTGGCAACAGAGCGAAACTGTCTAAAAAAAAGAAAGAAAAAAAGAAAAGAGATAATCTCTAAAATTCTGTGAGTTTTCCAATACTTAACTGTAAAAATACAGCAGATATTTCAAGTTTCCTTAGTTGTAAAATGGAATTAGTCAAACTTGCAGAGTTGTTCTACAGATTTAAAATATTTTATGTGTACAGAAAGGGAAAAACAGTAACATTAGCAGGGAGAAACCTGGTAAACATCACTTTAGGCAAGTGATCAAAGTTGACATCACCTGTTATAAAACCTATCAATAACATGTACCCGCAAATACAGTTTGAGGAGATGGCCATGTCACATCTGTGATAGTCTTCCCCCAAATCATAACCTCAGTTTAATCATGTGAAAAATATCAGAGAAATCCAAATTTAGGGTCATTCTACGAAACAGCTGACAAGTACTCTTCAAAAGTGTCAAGGTCACGAGAGACAAACACTGTGGAATTATCAGAGACTAGAGGACACTGAGGAGTTCTATCTTTGCAACTCTTCTGTAAGTCTAAAATTATTTTAAAATAAAAAGTTTTTTGAAGGTCTCTGTGAAGTGGCTAGCTCCCAGTAAGCACTTAATTAATGAGAGGTATTATAATTATAAGCAAAGACATTATTTCCAATGGTGTTAAAAATCCAAGAAATGTTTCTTGGTGGCAAAGACAGAGTCATTAGTTGGCAATGCTGTGCAACGGAAATCATTCTAGCCACAGAGATTACATGACCGTGGGTGAAGTGTGTTATAAAAACTAATTATCCTTGAAGGGGCTTCTGGGAAGTAAAATGTGCCGCTGTTTGTATACTCTGCCCATCTGCCCTTTGTTCATGGGCTCAAGTTGAATTTCTTCCTGATAGCATTGGTTTCCACAGCTGTGCCATCGAATAAACTTTGAGTTTGGACCTATTCATCTGAGAGAATGTTTTATCCACAAAAACTAATGGAGCAAAACGAATGGCACCTTGCCCTTTCTGTTTGATATACCACCTGCTCTGACAAGCTACTACCTGCACTGTCACACGCTACTGTTAGTTACTCACAGATGGTGCTGGCTGAGACAGCTGAGGAAAGAAAACTCAGTGGATGTGTGGCCCAGAACAGCTCCTCCGCCTGGGGCAGATCAGCCGAGACTCTGATTGCATTGGCAAAGCCAAAAGTGTAAGAAATTTCTCTTTGTGTAGGAAAATTTCATTTACCAGATGTATAACACATATTTATTAAGGGCCTTCTATATGCCTAAATCTGAGAGGGAAATGGGAACCCAGTTCCCAGCTTCATGGTCTTATGGGCAAACAGGAAGTTAAATAAACAGAAACAATAAAATGTGGATCCATGCTGTGAATTTCAGGGTGGGATAGAATGCTGGTTTGGGACCCAAACTTACAACAGTGGGGGAAGGAAACCCTACCTTTGCTGTCTGTGCCATTGGTGACTTTGAAGGTGGAGGTCCATCTTTTTAGTGCAGGAAGATAGGCCAGCCTCTGATTGGAGATGCTGTATACTACATGAGCCTGGGCAGATTATACCTATTTCTTTGCTGTCCACATGCAGATACTCAGTTAATGCCCATTGAGTGAATGCTGATTTGTGTCAGCAAATGAATGTATCATTTAACCTGATCTAACTCCAAAGTAATATTAAATTCAGGTTTTCTCTAACAACACCATTTATTGAGTGCCTAAGACAATCCTGGCACTATGTTAAATGCACTACGTAAATTATTTTATCATTACAGAAACCTAATAACAGAATGACTGTAATTGTACCGATTTTATAGGTGAGAAATCTGAGACAGAATGGAAGAAATAACTCAGCTAAAGTTACACAGGTACAGCTAGTAAGGGGCCAACCTAGACTTTGAACCGAGGTGGTCAGCCTCCAGAGACCACTGTCCTCTATTCTGCCTCCCCAGTTAAAGAGCCCTGGGCATTTTCTTGGAGGGACAGAAGGCTAGTCTGATGGTCCTGCAAGCCCAGACATAGAGTTCTTCAAAACTGCAACCCCAGGGATCAGGAAGCTGATAGTACTCACTATTTTACCTGTCACTTCCTACCTTCTTCCATAGCCGCTAACTTGGGATCACTGAGACAGGTTGCGTGGGAACAGGCATGACTGCAGTCTAGGACATGCCTCCACTCTGCCATGGTTAAATGTGGTCATCTCCTTTTTGGAGCCAGTATTGTGGGTAGAAGACAAGGTGGAGGCCAGTCAGGCACTTCCCTTCCCCAGAGCCACTTATGCTCTCATCTAAGAGCTCTGAAATCGGCTTCTTAGGTGTGGCATCTCAGGACTTGACAGCCAGTCTGGTTCAGTATCCAATTCCAACTTATGTCTCAGATACCTAATGTGGTGTGGCTGAACGAGTCAACATATAACCTGTACAGTAAGTTCTCACTTAACATCGTTGATAGGTTCTTGTAAACTGTGACTTTAAACAAAACATATTGTGTGCTATAGGGACTTAACTCTTGTTTATATCAGTTAGCTTGGTTTACATCAAGTTAGCTTAGTTAGTACATCATTTTGCTTAAAGCCACAGTTTACAAGAACCTATTAATGACGTTAAATGAGGATTTACTGTGCCCAGGTGCACTTTTTGTAGCAGATTCAGTCCCAGTGTTTCTTTTGGGGGTGGGAAGAAATAAGAGGTAGCAAGGTCAACTACACAGAGAGTTTCTCAACCAGGGACTCTGATGAGTATGATTTTCCGTGCAGACATTTCCAATGAACACTGACCCAGAACATTCTAGAAAAGATGCCAAATCTAACATTGAATAATGTTCTGATATCCTAAAATTTTAGGAATGAAAATCATGTTCTCTAAAATTCATGGAATATTTTCCTAGAATTCAGTACCTCCCATTCACCCTAACTAGCTTTTTTGCAATACTGTTTTCCATTCATTTGGTGGCCAGTAGTTGGGTGGTCTATATAACTGCCTACTTAGTAACATGTCAGCAGTTCTCAGCTAACTTCCAGCGTTCACCTTACTCAGATACTCCCTTTTCATTTTCTGACAACACTAGCACTTCATGGCAACAGAGATGTCCCTAGCCAGGTTCTCCTTTCTCTACCATGCAGGCTCTCTTGCCCTCATACTCACAGTGTTTCTTCACATCTATTTTTAGTTTTCCTGGCTCAAGCTTCTTCAGGCCACTGAAACACAACCCTCACTCTCTTTCTCTCTCCCTCTGGCATGCATGCTGCTTGTAGGAGCCCCCAGGTAAACATTGCTTCAGAAATCCTTTAGCACTCCTTTCTCAGCAAAACTTACGTCTTCAGGATTACAGCTCCATTTTTAAGATGGACATAACCCTGTACGACCTTCTGATGGGCTTTCAACTTTGAACTGGATATGGACACTTTTCTCTCAGATGACAGAATTACTCCAACTTCCCCTTTACAGTTGCTTCCTTTCCTTGAAGCTAGCTGTATCTTGTTTTCTTTAAAAAGCTTTTTATTCCAGAGTCACTTGCCATGCCAACCGTTATTAGCCCATCTGTGGCTCCAAGGACAGCAGCTGAACCCAGGTCCCCAGGGCCAGTTCCTCACCCGGCCCAGAGCAAGGTTACTGAGGCTGGGGGTGGAAACCCAAGTGGCATCTATTCAGCCATCATCAGCCGCAATTTTCCTATTATTGGAGTGAAAGAGAAGACATTTGAGCAGCTTCACAAGAAATGTCTAGAAAAGAAAGTTCTTTATGTGGACCCTGAATTCCCACCGGATGAGACCTCTCTCTTTTATAGCCAGAAGTTCCCCATCCAGTTCGTCTGGAAAAGACCTCCGGTGAGTAGCTTCCTGCTTGCTGGCTGGGTTTTTCCCCCACAGAGGAGTCCTCCCACTCAGCTCCTCCGGCAGCTCAGCTGTGCACATGGGCACTGGGGGAAGGATCCTAGCAGCAGCTCTACTGGGCTTCATCCTTAAGTGTGAAGCAAGGAGTAGAGGAACAGGTCTTAGATATTTCACCAAATCTCAGCAAAATCCAAAGGGAGAGTAGGGAAGCAGAGCTGATTCTCATGCTCTGGCTCTTCCTGAAAAAAAAAAAAAAAAAAGTCTTGCTTTTTATAAAAGTGATTGGAACTCAGTTTAATTCATTCTGTAAAAATAAATATTCCATTCTCAGAACAAATTCCAGACAGCCCAGATCTACTCTTTCATTTTAAATATCTTTCATCTTTGTAAAATTACTTCAGTTTCTCTAGATAAATTCATGATGTTATTCTTCTTTAATTTACCAGTGGCTATATATTTCTGAAACACAAAAACTCTAGAAAGAGGAGAATCATAGGCAAGAAATATTTTTTCATGTATAAAATGTTAGGGTTAGAGAGAGAGAGACCTAGCAATCACTTTTGTCCACCTACCTTACCTCATAAATGAGGAGCACACCAGAGTGAAATATATCCAGTAGGCATATGACAGAGCCTGGATTAAAACTCCTTCTCTTTTGGGAAACTCTCCCAGCCTCTGGGTTTCATTTATAGTGATCACCAGGAGGGAAATCACATTCCCCTGGCTCACCTCTGTGATCATGCCTCCAGTGTGACTCTTGTTCTTAATTCAAGGAGTATTTATTGAGCATCTACTAGTGCCAGCACTGGGCAAGCAACTGGGGGGACAGTAGTAAGAAAGAAAGACCAAAATTCCAGCTGTCTTGGAACCTAGGGTCCTGAAGGGGAAGAGTGGCATTGAACAAGAGTGACACTGTCAGGAGATGATGTTCTGGGTGTCACAGAATTATGTGGCAAGAAGAGCTAACCTGGTCCAGGGAGAGTAACCTTCCCTGAGGAAATGATGGCAAGCTGAGACCCAGTGCTATTTATCAGTGATGTTTTTCTTTATTAACCTAAGATGGGCCGGGCGTGGTGGCTCAGACCTGTAATCCTAGCACTTTGGGAGGCCCAGTCTGGAGGATTGCTTGAGCCCAGGAATTTGCAACCAGCCTGGGCAACATGGCAAAACCCCATCTCTTTTGTGCTAAAAATTCAAAAAATTATCTAGGCATGGTGGCACATGCTGTGGTCCTACCTACTTGGGAGGTTGAGGTGGGAAGATCACCTGAACTCAGTAAATTGAGGCAGCAGTGAGCCAAGATCACACCACTGCACTCCAGGCTTGGTAACAGGAATGAGACCCAGTCTCAAAAATCAACAAGAACAACAAAAGAAACCTGAGCGGAAATATTCCACAACACTGGGTGTTCCACAGGGGCTTTTCTGGGTTCTTTGCTAAGGCCCATGACTGTCCCGAAGGCCCTCAGTTTAGGAGATAACACTGCTCTGCTATCAGAGTATTTGGGCATGTCACACCCACCCTGCTGACGTATCTTCAGTGACATCCCTCTCTCATCCTCCACTGCCTTCAGGACAAGTCCAAACTCCTTAGCCAAGCCATAGGCCCTTCTCAGCTGTTCCCTGCCTACCTGTCCAGGCCCATCTCTGCCCTCTTTCCTCAGATCCTGACACACCAGCAGTGCTTGGACATTGAGCTGCTCTGTTCCAAGTCTTCTCACACCAGAGGCCTTTGCTCATGCTGTCTGTCGACCTGGCATGACCTTTTTGTTCTTATCTGAAACTGCTCAGGTGCCACTTCCTTCACCCTTTCTCATGACTATTTCCTTGTCACTGAAAGCAGAGACCCTTCCTGTTCATCTCTGATGCCCCCTCATCTAGCACAGGCCAGAACCATAGTGGGTACTCAGCCAATGCTGGTGAATGAAAACCCACACTGGAGGGCCTTGACCAGTGAGATAAGATGGTCTTGCATTCCTAGGCAGGGAGTTCCTAAAAGCCCTTTCTTAGGCCAGACATGGTGGCTCATGCCTGTAATCCCAGCAGTTTGGGAGGCAGAGGTAGGAGCATCGCTTGAGCTAAGGAGTTGGAGACCAGCCTGGGCAACATAGTGAGACACCATCTCTATTTAAAAAGTTTAAAAAAATAAAAGCCCTTTCTTAGAATAGGGAGAAAATAACCTACAAATACTGTTTTCAGTGAAATCATTGGTGGACTTGAGTCTTAAAGCTATACTTACAAATTAATAAAAATGCTTTCAGGCCTGTTATGCCCTAGGCACTAGATTGGTCTGGAAACTTATACTGGCAGTGTCTGTGTGTGAAATGGGTGCAGAAGACCTGTCTGTACTGAATTGTGCCCCCCCCCCCACCACCATCACCAACAAAGATCCTGGATTTTCTACTGTTTGAGTCAATAAAGGATCAAATAGCAAAGGGCACTCTTGGATGAAATGCCCACACATTTCCCTGGGGTTAAGATCACAGGAACACTGCCCAGTGGGTTTACTAGCATAAATGAGAAATGAAGAGTTAGAGATGGTCAGAGTTGGAATGAATCTTGGAGAGGCAGTCCAGAGCCCTTGCTTTACAGGTGAAGTGATTAAGGCCCAGAAAGGGCAAATGACTTATCTAAAGCCACACAAGTTGACTTGAAACTGAAAAACTGAAATGACTCCATAACTTTCTGACTGTAAAGCACTTCTTGGAGACATCGGTTCTCCATGAATTTCCTCAGTTGCAGTGACCTTTGCCAACCCCGAGCAGTCTGAAAAGACTGTGTCCTGTCAGGAAAAGCACCAGGCAGGTGAGTAAAGGCCTTCCTGCTTTTACTATCTAAGGCATAGAACCTTTGGAAACCAATCTGAATTTTTTTTAACCATAACTATTATTTATTCTGATTATAGTGATAATAATTATAATGATACAGGAAGAATTATTCCTGGACAACTATAATTCTGGTTCAAATAGCATGCTACACTTTCAGCCTTTCCCTCTTAACAGAAAATAGGCTCTGGCCAACTGTTCCCAGCCCTATAATCTCTTCTCTCACTTACCACTGCTACCTCACAGCCTTTCTTCCTCTATTTGGGAGCATCATGCATTGAGTTTCCAGTCCAAACAATGTCATTCCTCTAGCCTTTCCTTATGTGATCTATTTCTAGGGTCAGAAAACGAAACAAATTATTCAATATATTTTGCTCTCTCTCCCCCTTCCCTTCTGTTCAATACTTCCCAACTGTTAAGGCAAGTTTTCTTGATGACAGATCCCAGGGCAGCATAGAATGGCTTCTAGAACAGGGCTTCTGGGATGCTGGTGCCCAGTACACTAGGGATAGGTTGGGGAGGGCAGGTCATGTTTTATTCCGTGGAGTGGAAGGTTCAGTTGCACCACACTCCGGGCCTCTCTCCTTCCCTTGGTGGGTTTGTAAAGAGAACTTGACCTGTAAAGTCCGATTCTTGGCTTCCATCTTTCTTTGGGAAGCAAGCTACCCGCAAGAAGCATGGCTTCTGCTCTCTGCTCCTCCTTGCAGCAAGTTTTCATGAGTCAGGTCCCCATGGGGAGTCATGCAGGAGTCCCTGGGCCACCTGGTAATACGTGGTTAATAGTAAAGATAGTCGATAATCTTGAGTGAGAACTCACTGCATGCCAGTAACTATTCTAAGTGCTTCCCATGTGTTAATTCATTTAATCTTCACAACAATCCTGGGAGGAAGTATGATTATTGTCCCACTTTACAAAGGAGGGAACTGATTCTCAGAAAGATTAAATAACTCGCTCCAGATCTCCCAATCAGTGAAGGCTGGAGCTGGGATTTAAACCCACACAGTCTGGCTCTAGAGCCCCAAATCTATGTGATTCTGAGATTTAGATGTTAATACCTGTTTTTATTAATAAATATGGCATTCTGAACTCCCACCTGCCCTGCACTTTGGTAGTATTCCTTTATTGGCTCAAAACTTGGGCATGGAAATAAGGTGTCATTTGTTGAGCCTCCTCAAGACACAGCAGGTATTGAGTGACACCCCAGGGGATGCCCCTGAAAGCAGCAGCCTCTGTAAGTTGGAGATGGAATGACACAGTAGCTAAGAGCCCAGGCTCTGAGGTCAGGCAACCCATGTTCAAGTCTTAGCCTGCTACCTAACACTTAGGTAATCTTCGTCACATACTTACCCTCATTTTGCCACAGGTTCTCCATGTGAAAATTGGGGAACAACCAAAATAGAAGAACCAATCTCATAATTAATTGAGGATTAAATGAATTAATGCAGGCTAAAAGCTTAAGACCAACACATGGGTGAGTGCTCAGTAAACATAGACTACTCATTACTGCCTACAAGCAGCTGTGCTGTCTCTTTAAAGCAGCAGCATTATAAACATTTTTCCAGCTCAATTTGTACCTATGTCCAGTCAATATATTTACCATGGTAATGATTTGGGTACCTCATGCCTGGTCTAAATGCATCTGTCCATCTCAGCATGAGGACATATGTGTGAATGCTCCCCTCATGGGCAGGGGACTGCTTGTCCTTTAGGGCAATTCCAGTTACTTACATCAAATATAAAATGTATGTTTGGTTGTGAAAATGTGGGTGTATCATAGAGCCAGGAAGGTGACTACAAGTGTGATCACACTTGGCTGGGAAACTTGGCAACTTGCTCTATGACTGGCTTTAAAGACCAGGGCTTCCTCTTTCCCATCTCCATGTGCCTCAGTCATGCCAGGTGGAGAGTTCTTAAACCGTTTATCTCTGCTCTCCTGCAATCCCAAAATCAGGGGAAACCTAGATCCCTGCTGCTTTTGGAGGGATGAAAAGTGAAGGGCTAGTTTCAGGACCTTGTGATGAAAAGGTATCTGGTCCCCTCCTCACCCTTGGTAACGTGGGATGCCAGAATTGCTGCACAGTGCGCTGCCCTGCACAATCAACTCAGCTGGCCAGGGCCTCCAGCAGTGGACACTGACAACAATGAGGTTCCTGGGCCTCTCCCTCTCTC